CGGGGGCGGGGCCGCGGCCCTTGGCCGAGTCGCGGCGGCGCAGCGGCGTGGGCGAGGGCGTGGCGCCGGCCTCCTCGTAGAGGCGCCGTCGCTCCGCGATGCTGGCGCGCTGCCCGCTGCCGCGCTCGAACGCTGACGGCGCGTCGTCCTCGTCCGCCACGCACACCGTCACCGGCCGCGGCGCCGTCTCAGACACCGGCGTCACCTGCGCACCCACACGCACCAACCCCACAAGTTTTGGGCTTCACGGGTAAAGGTTTATTACATGAATGAAACACATGGAAGCGGGCATTTCATTTATGGTATATGTCATTTAAATGTATGTTATATTTCCGATGTAGATGGAACCTAATATTTGCGAATGTCCAATCCTGTAACAATTTTATGATGTGTCGAAATCTCACTTTTTGAAATAATATCCTACTTTATTTTTTAAACTTCAAATGGAAACAAAATAACCGCATATTATTAGATCCGTCCGTTATTAGATCCACATAAAAAAACGATTTTGCAGAATTATAAAGAGACACAGACATTTAACTCTTCTTTGAAGTCACAATTCCAAGTGTATTTCACTTTAATAAGTATTAGTAAACCCTGATGAAGAAATTAAATATTTCGAAACATTGACGTAACTAATCGTTTCTTTATCCATATTGACCAACCCCGTAAACTAATTTTATATTTCATCTATGGTCGTGATTTCTACAAAGGGCACTTTTTATTATTATTATTATTATTATTATTATTACTATTATTATTATTATTACTATTATTATTATTATTATTATTATTATTATTATTACTATTATTATTACTATTATTATTATTATTATTATTATTACTACTATTATTATTACTATTATTATTACTATTATTATTATTATTACTATTATTATTATTATTATTATTATTATTATTATTTACTAGTATGAAAAGAAGCGATCGTTAAAAATTGAAGATTTATGAAGTGGTGGGGAGTTGCTCACGCTCGTATAGCAGTTGAAAAAGGATTTAAAAAAGCGAAAGAAAGAGTGAAGTATTGTGACAAGATGAATATAAAATTAACGTAAAAAACGGCACACGTGTTCAATGAATTTCTAAAAATTCAGCCCAGCAACAGCGAGGTTTCGTATGACCCACGCAGCGGTGCCCGGCGGGATGCCTATCTCCACGAGCAAGGCGCAGCGATGAATCACGGCCAGTCGCAGCCAAGTAGGGAAGTGGAGCGTGGCCCGTAGAGCGGAAAAGACGGTCGGCGTGACGGAGAGAACTAAAGGAAAGAAGAGGAAGAATGAATGAAGGAAGGAAGGAAGAGGAAGGAGAAGAGGAAGGAGAAGAGAAAGGAGAAGAGAAAGGAAATGAAGGGAAGAAGAGAAGGAAGAAAGGAGAAGAGATAAGAAGCTGGAGAGAGGGAGAAAGAGAAAGGGAAGAGAGCTAGAGAGAAAGGAAAGGAAAGGAAAGGAAAGGAAGAAAGAAAGAGAGGGAGGGGGCGAAGGAAGGAGAAAAAAGAGAAGGGAAGACAAAAAAGTGCGAAAGAAAGAGAGGAAAGTAGAAAAGATCTTGCAAGAAATCGAATGTAACAAGTAAAGGGAAATTACGAAGTCTGTCAATATTTAAAATTTCATTCACATACAAATCGTATCTTCGAAAAATTCAGAAAATATGACAGCATGTTGAACAGTGTACTAAAAGTACATTGAAGTGAAGTGAAAGGGGGAGGTACGAAATACATATAAGTTAAATAATACAAATATAGACGAAAAACTTGAATTATATTTTTACTTTTATATATAATTATACTAAACTTGAATTATATTTTTGTACAACATAACTGTTTTTCCATCCGATGCGTGCGAACGAGGCTGGGGCTAAAGGTCACGAGCTCGTCGGAGATTGGCGTTTGTCACATCTTTTTCTGGTCAAAGACTGTAGGTCTTTTCTAAGCACACAAGTGGACGCGCATGGGAATTCTATGTCATAATTTTAGATATCACGAGAAGCAAAACCTTTAAATTAACAATGTGCTGAAAATTGCTTCAATAGTTTAACGCATTTTCTGCGGCAACTAGACAGAAATGGAAACATCGTATAAAATTTTCTGTTAAATTACAATTCCAAAATGTTGCTAGGTCACCTGTCTTCAATGAATATTTTTAAAAGAATGTTGCGTTACTTTTTTTTCATGGAACGGATATTTTTTATTTTCTTGTCGAATTTTGACAAACAACCGACACTTTGGGGCTTTTATAAAGTAACAGCTGTACCAGCAACTTCGTTTGCTTTGATTTTGTTTTATGGATTTTCATATCGCAATATGTCGCCATATTATAGTGACTTATCAAATTTTGTACTTGCAACTGGGTGTACACCCCTGTACACATTACCCATCAGGAGAAAGCCATCAAGAAAACCCATTAAAATAGTTTTACTACACATACTCGTTGCTAGATTAAGCAGGTGATCTGGGCTGGGAACAAACTGCACCGCGTGCAAAAGAATTGAGAACGCACCTGCTCGAAGATGCGTCGTCGTTCGGCGGTGCTGGGCGTCTTGGGCTTGTCGTCCGGGGGCAGCTCGGTGGCGGGCGAGGCGGCGGGCGAGGGCGCGGGCGACGCGGCGGGCGATGGCGCGGGAGAGGGCCGCGGGGGAGGCGGCGGGCGCGAGGAGGGCGCCGCGCCGGTGGCAGGCGCCGGCGTGGCCGGGCCGGGGCCGGGGCGCGGGCGGGGCGCTGCTCCGCTGGGCGCCGCGGCGGGGGCAGGCGCCAGGGGCAGCGGGCCGAGCGCGGCGGGGCGGCGGCCGCCGGCTCCTGCCCCGGGCGCCGCGGGCACAGTGCGAACACCTTGTTCGAAGGAGAGAACTCCGTGGTTGGCGCGGGCGTCGCCGCTGCCCCGAAGCTCAGCTTGGCGGGGTGAAGGGCTTGGAGGGCCCAGGCGCGGCTGCAGGGCGAACAGGAGCGGGCGGTTCAGCGCGGAGGCGGGCGGCGGACCTACCTAGGCGTTCGCGCATGGGCGCAAGGCCATCCCAGTACCGCACTACAATGAAATCTTGAACGCAACCGAAAAGCGTATCCGGTCAGGACAAGACTTCAATCGTCTGCGAGTCGAACACAGAGGAACCGATTTGGATGGTTCAGATGAACCTTCATTACTGACTATCTGCAAACCTCTCTAAACTGATAGCAAATGCTGCCCGCAATAATACCAATACAATGAAACCCGATTAACTGGAGTTTCCACGAAACATTTTTCGGCAACCTCTAAAACGACGGAGAAACACCCAGGGGGGGGGGGGGGGCTCATAAGAGATAAAACAAAAGAAACCAAGGGTATCGAATTTCCTTGATATCTTTCTATGTTTCTTCGTCCCATTGATCGTAAACTTTGGAATGCGTCATTTTGAATATCGTTGTATCGAGATTTTCAATTGCCTCAAGTTTTTATTTTCCCTCCGCTGATTCGAAGATATCGAGGTTCCATTGACATTGCTTTCTAAATTAGCAAAAATTCCATATTTCTTTAGAATGAAATCATGGATACTAGCCATCCACATGGGAAACTTTTGCAACACTGACACCAACTATCTCCTGAAATCGCATTATTACAATGTAATACATTTTTAATCTCTCCGTTCTTGCATGATTTCTTGACAAATTCGTGCAGAGGGAACCCGTTTTGCCGTCTTGCAAAGGTTTGTCCCATTACAACGGCGATTACAATATAAAAAGATTCACAATCTTCAACGCAGAAATTCTAATTACCTACCACATAAACTTGTAGACGCGAAAAAAAACACTTTTCTGCGGGAGGCGAGAGAAACCACACCAATAAAGGGGCTCCACACAAGGTAAAACGATCAAAAAGATAATACTTAAATGAAAATTACGTGCAGGAAAAGCGCAATGCCCAAAACGCTCAATGCGAAACAAAAACCACTTCTTCCAACTGCAGAACCGGAAGCGTTCCTTAACATTTCGGTGATTACATAACTCACCATTTGTGCCAAGATTTGCGGCAACTTTTGCACCCATCTTAGCGACAGATTTATGCAGCCTACTCACCCTTTTCCCATCCTCTGATGCGCTCCTGTGCTTTCCCCCGAAGTAGTTCGTGTTTCGTATAAACTCCACCCCTGGACAGAGCAGTCTCACTCACCTTCTATTCTCCAGCGCGTGTGCCGGGGTAGTAAATATCCGACGGATGCGTCGCATTGCACTGTAAATATTACCTTAAATCCCACGTAGTAACTCAAAACTCGATTAGTGCCACGCTTACTCCAGCAGATCAAAATACATACGCCGCAGAAGACTATCCTTATTGCAAGGTTGTGAGAACAAACATTGCACAATCGATCACATGATGCTTTTGCGCATCGTACGACCCCCTTCAATAGTGCCAGTGTGTGCCGCCGTAGTCGGCGGAGAGGACTGCTCGGTGCTAGACCTTCGTAACGCCCATGCACGCACCTCAGTCCCTTGCAGCCACCTCTCCTCCCCAGCCCTTTCCAGAGTGCGATGGCGTGGGAGGGGTGTCAGAACTCCGCGCATACACCTATGCTATGCTCCTCGAGAACGGCGCGCCAGAAGGGGTTCAACCGGACGTCACACCCACCGCCTGGGCCGCAGCGGCGAACAAGAAGGTTCGGCCGAGGGCGCCGAGTGCGGCGGCGCGGTCGCGCCGGAGACGGGGACGAAGGGTTGAGACGCGGCGCACCGGACGCAGCGCGGCGCTGTGGCCGCGCGCGGGCTGCCGGCGCGCCGGGTCTGGGCCCGCCGGGTCGCGCCCGCCGGCCGGGGGGCTCGCTCGCTTCTCGCAGCGAACCCGACGCGCGAGGGCACCGGAGCGCGGGAGCGGGCTTGGCGGGGCGGAGGCGGGGTGGCGCGGCCGCTGGCGGATAGGCAGTGCGGCGTGCCAGCTGGTCTGCGGCGGCGTGCGCACGCAGCTGCCGTTCTGCGTGCGGGCGGCTGGCCTGCCACCCGGAGGGCCGCCCCCAGCCCCTTCCCCTGTCCCGTGCCCCAGGCCGAGGCCGTTACTGGTGCGGCGCGGCCGGTTGGGGGCCGTCGGCCCCGTCGGCTTTCGAGCGCGCCGCGCCGCCTGCCGCCGCCCCTTCCGCAACCGCAGGCGCTCTCTGCAGGGCGCCTGCGCGCACCACTGGCCCAGCGGCCCTCTCGCTGCACCTGCGAAGACGCGCGCCGCCGCGCTGCCGAGGCGCCTGCCACCCGCCCCGCCCCTCCCCCCGCGCTCCCACGCCAGGGCATCGAACCGACGGGCTCACGCGCGTTTCTTCGTTTGCTTTACAGCTTGCTCGCGTATTTATTTCTTTATCGCTAAGTAATCGGTTTTAAATAACAACCAAATAAAATATCCATACTTCAAAAAAATCCCATTCCTTTCAATTCAGAATAAAATATATAAAAAAAGTAATAATGTATTTTAATACTTCAAAACCGTTTTTGCGATGTAACTAGTTTTAATGCAATTGGAAACACGGTAAAAAATGCACAATTGCTGTGTTTCATAGTTTATTCATCATGTAAAAGTTAAATAAACTCCAAAATTTGTAATTTATCAGACGTCTCTAGTCACTGATCACTTTCAAGTCAAAAATTATGTTATAAGTTTTTAAAAACATGTTAGGGACTTAAATATTCCTTTTCCACAACCAATACTGTAATAAAGAAAGACATAAGAAAACTGCACATTTGAAGTTCTCTACCGTGTAAGGGTTATGCAATTTTTTGAAGTCATTTTTCATTCCACAGTAAGATTTCTGAGAACCCTTGTTTTCTTTCTCTAATTTTTGTCCACTATTATTCCCAGTTCGATGCCCTGATTTTGCATAATGTCACATTTGTGCTACCACTACCGCAAGCAACTACGGAAAACCAGCTGACTACTACACAGCACGCTACAAACCACTACGTATTACACAACTACGATACAACTGCTAGTGTGAGGTTCCAACAAAGCCTACTACCACTGAGAAGCCAGGAAGCCACATCTATTAAACTACGACTAGTAATAAGCTGTTATGAGCGAGCATTAACACAACATTATCTTTCAAACCATTGCATTCCACAACCTCTTAACACAAGTGACAACATAACAAAAAAAAAATAATAAGATAATATTAAGCATGTTCTACTGTTGTTTGCATAAACTGAGTGCAGTGCTCCACAAACACTGTACATTTGTGTTTAGTGCATGCGGTGGCATAGACATACTAATTATCAAATTACCTCATTCACAAAAATGGGAAAATTATTTTCTTACCTCTTTTCTATTCTTAATCAATTACACTCTTTACACAACTATTCAATCTACATTCTTTAAGACAATGTAATAAATTATATTATTCTTTTTGTATATCTAAGCCACTGGTAACAAACGGTTCACAAGCAGACACAAGACATTAAGTGCTGAAGGTCAACACATTTGCACATGCCAAATGTTTTTTTTGTGTTTTTTTTGTGACAACCCAACTTGAGGGACAATGCAAGTCCTTTTTAATTACTCTCATTAATCCCACAGGCACTCACACCTAAAAAATATGTGCATTGGAAGATCAATGTACTTTAATTTCAATTAATTTTTATTTAATGAATCAATTGTCTTTAATTTAAAAACAAACAAAAACAAAGCAACAATGCTTTCATTAATCTGAGTGAACCATTTTATTGCCATCTTGCTTCTCTTAGCAAGAAACAATTCCCAACTTACTAAAATCAATAGTATAACTAAGAAATTTTCTTCTTTTTTATCACACCCTCAAACCCTTTTCAAAACCTTAAGTGATGCCCTTCAGCTTCTCCATCACCTACATCTCTAATTTTATCAATTTTGATCCCCAAATAATCTTTTATTTAAGGTAACCTCTGTGTTTGAGAGTTTAGGTTACAAGTAATTGTGCTGAAATTTCCACAAGCACACACATTAAAAGCATGTTACTCCTATTCATATTAAAAGTTATTTGATGTTAGTTGAAAGCATTTCATTTGCTTCTCACATCACCAGGTTAACCCATTTATACCAATTAATATTATACACCTTAACTGACATTAACACAAGCGTTATGTCAAAGACTTTTAAATCACTTGAAATTATGAGTCATAGTAAACAAATTAGTCCAGAATATCCCTCAAATTGGGTAGATGGTAGTTTTGGAGACCAAGTATTGACATTTAATATTTTAGATGGTGCATGACAAGCACACCTGTGGTGCAGCGCCTGCATTGGTGCGGTTAGCTGGGTCCAGGCTAATGCGCGCAACTTGCGCATCTTTGCCACTAAGCCATTGTGCAGCGGACAATGGGGCATCTGCGCCAGGTGTGTCCGGATAGAGATCAGCATGGAAATCACGATACGACTGAAAAAAAGTTCAAGGCAAATTGATGCTCTTTATCAAGTCTCCTTTTCTGGTTTAAGTTCTCCTTTCTAGTAACAGTAAAAATATCTTCAAGAGAACTGTTAAAGCAATTAAAAACATGCATTCAAAAACAGGTTAAACAATATTTTGCTGAAATTGAGACAAACTTTTGCATATATAGAAAACAAATTGACAGAAGAAAATGTTTATTTATAGTTTTTATCTTAAAGTGGTAGTAGCATGGTAGGACGTAACAAGAATTTTAAATATTTGCTCCTAAGAGAGACCACAACACTTGAAAAACCTCTACATAGTAATAATGAAGTCTCTGAAAAGTGGAACTTCAATCACCAACTGATATTCTGAAAACCTCTTTAAAACTGCTGATGTGATGTGTAGGAGAAATGTAATCCAACAATTCTAATGTGTCATAAAATTCTTTGATGCACTTATCATATGTATTTTTTTTTAAATATTTAAATTATGCTTGTTTGTGTTCTGTTACCATTATTAAGGTCAAAAATAGGTCAGTGTTGACAAACACATCAACTGACATTTATACTATTGCATGTAGATTTCTAACCCTAGCCTTCCTGGCAAACTCAACCCAGTCATCAGGATCATAAACATAAGGAACTGTTCTTTTCTTCTTTTCTATGACTGAAGTTCCTGTTACAGGGGAGATGTACTTCCACTCTGAACTACATGTGATTATTGCTGACCTGGCAAGACCACAGCACCATCACAACAGATTACAGTCCAATTTTACTACTACTCCCCAGCAATTTTGACAATCAAGAAATTCAAAGTCCAATATTTTCATATATCATCTTTGCTTGATGACAGCCCATCTCATAGAAGATAGTTCAAATCCTCCACATTTGGTGACAGCAGATAACTTGCTGTTTATAAATTTGTTGGTTAACCCTTTTTGCATGTTTATCTTTAATTACTTTCACTTCAAATAAGAAGTAACAGCCAAAGTGACAAATTATTCCAAGAATATCACACTGAGGGCAACCCATACAAGGCATATAGGTTTCATCCCAGGGGCCAAACTGTGTTACAATGGAAGTTATTTTAAGTACACCGATGACCTTGTCGGACAGGTAAGCAGCCATCTGCAGTCCATGCTTCAGACTTTTTTAAAATCTTTTTTATCTTAAATTTTATATCAGCCTAGTAGAAAACCTTCTATGAACAAACATTTTGTGTATTCCAGATCCCCAAACTTTCAAAATGCTCTCCTGTAAAATTTCCTCACAGTCTGGTAGTTAGAAACTTTTTAGTCTGAGGATGTAAAATGCCGTCCAAGGACAGAAAGTAACTTTTATTATCTAACGAAAACCTGATTGAATTATCATTCCTTGTGTTTGTTAATAACGATTTGAAAGTTTAAAACATGTTCACACAAACTACTCTTATTCTTTTCAAACAGTACCACATAACAGCATTACTTGACAAAAAAAAAAAAAAAAAAAAAAAAAAAAAAAAAAAAAAAAAAAAAAAAAAAAAAAAAAAAAAAAAAAAAAAAAGTATGAAAACCAATTCTCGTTCCAAGAAATTGTCGGAAGGAGCCTTTTCAATTTTTTCTGGTTCGATAATATAATCATCACTTTCTTATTTTACCAATGTTCAGTTACCAATCATTTGATCTTTTTAACTAAAAAATCAGTTTTAATTACAAATATTATGCTAAACACCAACATAAGAGAATTTTGAAAGACATTTTTTAGATACACCTCTAAATACTGATTCTCTTCAGGATATAGATTGTCATCTTCTGTAGGAAGTTCACAACTTCACAAGCAATAAAATGTCAATGACAAACAACTCACTGTTTATGATGGATCTGATAAAACAAACACATGCAGCAAAAAGTATAAATCAAATCTATACTTATAAACAATCAATGCACAGCAATAATGCACTCTGTTATATTAGTTGAAAACATCTGATTCACACAGATTCATTGTTAATTGAATTTCAATTCATGACAAACATCAACTTCCTACCTGTCACTGTTTATTTTTAACAAGTTAAGAAACTGTGGACAACTGAAACAAAATCCCAGACCAACATCAGATGAAGAAACAAGTAATTCTTCCACACTTAATAATTATTATTATTATTATTATTATTATTATTATTATTATTATTATTATTATTATTATTATTATTTCAGAGTACATTTACTGTCATTCCGCAACACTAATATTCAACGACCTTTGCAGTTTACAATGTCCAATTTGTAATGCAAAGGAAATCTGTTTGAAAAGCTTTACCCCTTGATTCAATTCTAACAAATTACCGATTGCAAAGAAATAACTGTTTTGACAAATGAAAACAAAGGTTCTTGAGGCATTGACTGTGTGCATGGAATAATTAAACCTTAAGGGGAAACTTTCCAAATAAAATTAAGTAAAACGACATGACGACAAGATATACTACAAGTAGTGTTTCAGAATGCCACATTTTCTAAAAATGTGCAATTTGAAGCTCATTTTCATCCCAAACTTTTGAGGTTTAAGAAATTTTGTAAGCAATAATTTGAAGAAAATTTCCTCAAAAATGGGATAATGTAGAAAAATACCCACAATGTAAATATTGACAACATCGAGAGAGAGAGAGAGAGAGAGAGAGAGAGAGAGAGAGAAAGAGAGGAGAGACAGAGGGAGAGAAAGAGAGAGAAAGATGAGAGAGAGAAAGAGAGAGAGAAAGAGAAGAGAGAGAAGAGAGGAGAAAGAGAGAAGAGAGCGAGAAAGAGAGAAAGAGAGCGAGAAGAGAGAAAGAGAGCGAGAAAGAGAGAAAGAGAGCGAGAAAAGAGGAGAAGAGAGCGAGAAGAGAGAAAGAAGAGCGCGAGAAAGAGAGAAAGGAGAGCGGAGAAGAGAGAAAGAGAAGCGAGAAGAGAGAAAGAGAGCGAGAAAGAGAGCGAGAAAGAGAGAGGAAAGAGAGCGAGAGGCGAGTGGAGCGAGAGCGAGTGAGCGAGAGCGAGCAGAGAAGCGACGAAGAGGAGAGAAAGAGCGAGAGAGGGAAAGAGAAAGAGCGAGAGAGGGAGAGAAAGAGCAGAAGAGAGAGCGAGAGAGAGAGCGAGAGAGAGAGAAGAGAGCGAGAAGAGTAGACGAAGAGAGCGAGAGGAGAGAGAGAGAGAGCGAGAGAGAGAGCGAGAGAGAGACGGCGAGAGAGCGAGAGAGAGCGGAGAGAGCGAAGAGAGCGGAGAGAGCGAGAGCGAGAGAGCAGAGAGAGAGGAGCGAGAGGAGCAGAGGAGAGAGAGCGAGAGAGAGCAGACGAGAGCGAGGACGAGTAGAAGCGACGAGAGAGCGAGAGAGAGAGGCGGAAGAGATGAGAGCTGACGAGAGAGAGAGCGAGAGAGCGAGAAGCGAGCAGAAGAGAGCGAGAGAGAGAGAAGATCGAAGGAATGAGACGCGAGACGAGAGCGCGAGTAGAGGCGCTCAGAGAGAGAGAGCCGGGAGAGAGAGAGCGCGAGAGAGAGAGCGCTGTCGAGAGAGAAGAGCTGCGAGAGAGAGAGCGCGAAGAGAGACGAGCGCGAGAGAGAGAGCGCCCTTGAAGAGGAGGAGAGCCGCGAGAGAGAGAGCGCGAGAAGAGAGAGCGCGAAGGAGCGAGGAGAGGACGAGCCATCGAGAGAGAGAGAGAGAGGAGCGCGAGAGAGAGACGCGGAGAAGAGCGCGAGAGAGAGCGCGAGAGAGAGCGGATGAGAGAGAGAGAGAGAGAGAGAGAGCGGAGAGAGAGAGCAGAGAGGAGAGCGAGAGAGAGAGCCCGAGAGAGAGAGCGAGAGAGAGAAGCGAGATAGAGAGCGAGCGAGAGACCGATGCTGAGAGAGCAGCGAGAGGATGAGCGATGAGGAGAGGCGAGAGAGCCGAGCGAGCAGAGCGAAGCTCGAGAGAGCGACAGAGACGCTGAGAGACGCGAGTAGTTTAGTACTTTATTACAGCTATAATAAAGAGCCATTAACCAACTCTGGACACTTAAGTAAACAGGCAACAAATGCGATTGGATAAGATCAAATATTTATACTTGTGTAATTTTTTAAAAAAAAACAAAGTACGTATTAAAGAGAGATTTAATTCATGTTATTCAGTGCATTAGCATTATCATTACCAAAAATTAAAAAAATAAAATTTGAAGCCAATGGTTTGTAAAATTGAAAACATCCCAGGGGCTTTAAGTAAAGTAACTGGAAAATTTAAACTATTCTTTTCAATGGTGCAGGGCTTCGAGTTGAGCTTAACCAAGGAACATTCATTTCGGAAAAACCCTACAAATATTTTGGGCCCAAGTGTTGGTCAGACAGAGAGGCAGGGAGACAGAGGTAAGGCCCGACAGACTGACAAGGAACAAATATATGGACGAACGAATAAGACAGACGAATGGACAAAGAAACAGACAAAAGGAGACGGATGGAAGGTCACATGGTACAATGGGCAGAGGAGGCCTGAGTACATAAACCTGAGTGCAATGTTCCACAACATTGTACATTTGTGTTTAATGTATTCGGTGGGAATACACACAATAATTACCTCATTCACAACAATGGGAAAATAATTTTCTTACCACTTCTCTATTGTTAATCAATTCCGTTCTTTACACAACTATTCAATCCACATTCATTTCAGAGTGGCAGACAAAGAAACAAAACGATGGACAAACAGAATGACAGATAGATAAAAAAAAAATTCGGTATCGAATACCAAAAATGTATTCCCGTTAAAATATCTAAATCTATTTTTTGCAGCATTAAATAAATCTCTATACTACTATAAAAAAATTAAGGTACACGTTTTCTCTGTATACGCAAATCAATATGATTATGTAAAAATTAAGTATTAACATTAAGAAAATTGTGAAATAATAATAATAATAATAATAATAATAATAATAATAATAATAATAATAATACCAAAAATTATGTTTTAGTGACAATTTAAGTTACTAATAATTATTAATACACTACAGTGAAAATAATCCTATAATTAAATATTTATGTTTCATGTCCATTCCCTATAATTTAAGCAGCAAGAACTTGCTTAAGAAATGTTTACGTCTGACAGGCAAATATAGTAGCATATAGAAGTATACCATGACATGAAACAATATACATGTTTTGCTATGATAATTAATTTCACTTTATAATTAAATTAAATTAAATTAAATGTTCATCTAAACATCAAACAAAAGTATTTGGATGCTTCCTTCCAATTTTTGGGAATAGAATATTATTAAAATAATTTAAATACATTTTCTGTAGGTCATTAATCTATTTAACTTCAATAGATAATCTACTCAATGGCATTGCCATTAGACAAAGAAACACAGATAAAATTACCGATAATTGCACATAATCATAAATACTTATAAGCCCTTTGGACACAGACCATTTATAAACCAATTCTAATTTCTTTAATGTCCTAACTATTCTTTAATTTTCTTTTATAAGCAGGATGATAGAGAACAATTATGATCTCTCTTTCCACCCTATACTGTGGATGCTTCTGAAATGAAGATAGCCAAAAACTTTGTTCGTTCGTGCTAAAAACCTTTCTTTAAAAGTTTTTTTACTTATTTACATTGTTAAAGCCAGATAATACAAACAAACCAAAAATTGCAAAATTTAACAAGAAAAAAAATAATTTATGGAAAATATTAGAAATGAAATTATACTTACTTACTTTTAGCTAAAATATTTGGGAAGTTCACCCGTGGTTAATGTCTGGATTACATCATAGAAGCAAAAGCATGCAAAATTCTCTTGTTTTTTAGATCATTGTTTTCTTTTAATAATTTGGCATACATCACATATTATTACCATTTGAAGAAAGAGGATTTCTAAATGGCAAGGAAAATTTATCAGAAATTATCATCTTGTATTTGTTCCATTCTTGGAAATCAAATATGTCAAAGAGATAAAAATTTGAGATAATTTTCATATGCAGTGTCCTTTCAATTCTTGCAATACCAACAGTGTGCAGTGATTTCTGTCTGCTGGTGAGTTCTAATGCAGGTAAGTGCAGGATGTGGCAAGAAACTGTCAGATGCCGAGTGAAAGGGCAATGGCACCTTGGTGAATGACCTCCGAGCCCTCACTCCTCAGGAAACGCAGTGCACATAGTACAATTAGTACATAGCATCTGAGCAAGGTGTTTCAAGTGTGTGTTTTATAGTGCATGTTTTTAATAGAGAATATTAATACTCCAATTTATTCACATCTACAATTGGTTCTAAAAAATTACAGATTTCTGCCATCTCTGCACAAAATTCATTAGTCTAGATTATTTGCGAATACCATCTTAACACAGAGAAATTCAATACTAATAATAGCAGTGTACAGAATGTATCCTCATCTTTCCAATTCTTTGCCCATTGAGCATCAGTCCCACAAGGATCAATCCTAAGTTCTACATTCTTTCCTTTATAAGTAAATGATACATCCTTGCCTTTTAGAAATGGAATAAATACACTCAATTAAATCCATTATATTATGCATTCAGAATTCTTTCAAATTCAGACAGTCTTTAAGCATATTGTTGTGTGTATTTTGCAAATGTACATTCACACCAGAGATACGACATCATATTCTGGGAAAGAACATCCTATAATATCCCAACTTATATTGTTGGAGGAATAGGAGGAGGAGGGGGGGGGGGGGGGAGGAAAAAAAATAATTAATTAATTATACATAAGATAGTATAGTTGTAGTAGTGTAGTAGTAGTAGTAGTAGTGAGTAGTAGTAATACTAAATTAATAATAATAATAATAATAATAATAATAATAATAATAATAATAATAATAATAATAATCAAATGCCATCCATGTGATTCCTGCAAACATCTTTTCATTGAGCTTGAAATCTTATCCTTGCCTTGCCTTAATATTAACAGCTTGCTACAAGAAATCCACATTTTTTATGTGTACTTTACTTTACAACACATTTCCAGACGATATTAAACAATTAAAATTCACACACAATTGCAAGTGCTTAGTAAGATCTTTTCTGCTGTTTAAGTTCCTACACAAAGACTACACTGTCCAAAATGAAAAAGAAAATTTATTTTAACAATGATATTTCATGACTTAAAAAACAAACAATATGCCTTTAAAAAGTAATGTACTTCAGTTTCTGGGTTAATGTCCTCCAGCTCAAATTTTCATACAGTTTCCCTGAAGTATTGAACGTGATATGTGCTCGTTTTGGTTCTGGCATAAACATAGCTACGCATTGGCACATTTTGTTGAGCTCTCCTTCTGTGAGTAATGAAAGGAGAAATCCAGGGCTATGGACTGATATTTTGTTATCACAACTATAAAATAAAATCTGTAATTTGTTAACTGATGCAAGTAAATTTTGATAACATGGGTGTGAACATTTTTAATTTCAAATGTTGCTAACTTTCTCCCCATAAATTACATTTACTTTCCCCTGTTTTTTTGACAAAACATATTCCCTGCAAATTATCATTAGGTATACATTTGCATTTTCCCTTCCTATTTGAGCAATAAACTGAATTTATATTTGTACCCCCCTCCAAAAAAACTGCACATATTCCTATTTCTATTTATGGTAAGGTATGCACATAAATATATGTATTTAATGGAAATTAATTTAGAATATATTTAATGAATGTTAATGAAATATATCAAGTAAATTTATGATAATTAAAACCACATTAAAGAAGGATTACATTTTAAAATAAATTGAAGCTTCATGTAACATTTACTACATGAAGATATAATTTCAATTCAATGCTATTTTTAAATGTAATAAGTTCATTTGAGTTTATTAAATGTTCTTGTTTGGTTGGGTTTATTAATGTTCTTGGTAAGATTTGAAAATAAATGAAGTTTCAGAAATGATAGACGCAATAAAAAAAGGTCCATAACATTGCCCAAGGTTGCCACTGTGATCAACGACTTCTTGATTATGGAGATAAGTTACAAAAAATACTTTCTATCATTTTTTATCATTTTCGTTCTATTACTTTTTTGTAAGATGAACACAAGGACTAGAAGAAATTATGAAGTTTCATGATTTACATAGACAAGTATAAAGTGACAGTTACAGTAAAATAGTTATAAATGAAGTACAGTTGATAAATGTACATAATGTCCAAAGAATATATGTTAATACTCTTGTATAGAAATGTATCATTTCAACATAAATGTACGTAGTTTGATTTCACATTCTACACACTACAAGAAATTTTCACTTGATTATCTAACAAAAATAAAATCTGTTTCACTCACCTTCCGAGGAACTTGGTAGGTGATTGGGACAACTGCACTGGAGGTGAGCTGCAACAGTCTATTCACCTCTCCTTGCATGACTGCAAGGGCCCGTTTGGGCACAAGGCATGCACCTTTAGTCTGTTCGCCTGTATGGCGAAGTCCTTCAGCCAAGAAAGGCTCTCGCTCTAATAGCTCAAGAAACAGCACGGTAGTGTCACCTTTTGCTGCAAGAAACAGCATGCCCGTGTCCGGATCAAATAGGGGCATTAACACCCTGCAGACAGAAACCAAAATTATTATGAAGGACCTCATCCAAAAAATTCCAAAGACTTCTTGATAAATGAATGGCATTTATGGCAAAGAAACAAACTGAAATTTTTAAAATTTGCTAATGAATTTGTTTGTTAAAGCGATTAAAATTCCGGATTTTCTCTATTTCTTTGAGAGAGAGAGAGGAGGGAAAAAAAAAAAAAATTAAATTACAAAAACATCATCTCTAATTTTGTTTCTTTTTAGATAAAATTTTAGATAAGTTTGGCCTACTTTAATGCTTTTTTATTATAATTATCTACTTACAAAACTACACCTTCCTTGTTAAATTTATCTGAAACCTTCAGTTCTTTGAAAAGTTTCTTTACCTACAGTATATTCTAATTTTTCTCATTGAAATATGTGAAACAAACTTCTGCATTAAAATCTGCAACTGTTCAGCAGTGTTTACACTGTTCTATGAAATTGTCAGACTCAGATTTATATTAAGGATTTTTCATCTGTCATTTATTAGGATCTTTTAATGCAAAGATGCAAAGGCACTTGTACCACAAGTCCAAGTTCATTTGATAATTTTTCTCTGCAATTTTTGTTGTTACTGAATGTTATTGAAATAGTTTCTCTTACAGCTATTCCTTTGTTTTTGTTATAAGAATCTGAAAATGATCTTTCAAATAATGCTCTTGTATTAATGTGTAAATGTTCAAAAATGTATTTCACTGAAATTAAGTAATTTTGGAAATGCATCACAATCAACCTTCACTTTGAAGGAATACAAAAGATATGAAATATTTGCATCCAAATGGTATATGATATCTTGCAAATAAGATTTTGTTGCCCACGTATAAACAGTGGGAATAATAAATAAATGCAGAATAAAATTTTCATGAACTCACCCAGTGGAGCTATCAAGAACAAGAGCACGATCTGCTTCTTCAAAGCGCCGAAGATCTCTGAGGAATACTTCTCTTTGACGACCCTGCAGAACATCACGGCAAATTTAAAATACAGCCCAGCACCCCATCTGAGAATACTTGATATTGTAAATGAAGAAATAGAAATATATACTTGAAGGTCCAATAAAAATAAAAAATAATCTACTTCCATTCATAAATAATTATTCAGAAACTTACAGAATCAAATCCAGTGGTGAGAAGACGTCCTGAATCTCCCAACCACACGACTCTTGAATCTTTGATGCTTTGGTGGCTATTGGCAGAATGTGTAATAAATTTTGGACTACGTGGATCACCTACACGCACTTGTTTGTCCTTGCAACTGGTAGCAATCAGTGACCCATCTCGCCGCCATGCTACTGACTGTATCACATCTCCATGCTCAGACCCATTAGCTGCAATCATAACAATTTTTCTTTAACCACTTTTCAATGCAAAAGTTAACTGACAAACGTAAGTAGATTATCTTATTAGAAAGAATAATGCTAACATAAAAAAATTTAAAAAAAAGGTTGAGTCTTGTAGGACAATATGTTTGCTATAAGCTTTCCAGCTTTAAAACCAATACTTTGAAGTTCCTTTCTTTCTTCTCATGCACATAGGATATTGTGTAATAACAAGTGTTACTTATCAGACCAGTTATACAGTTAGTACCTTACAGTCAACAAAATAGTTAATTCATACCAATAGCTATTGTTAACAGTTGTTAACAACATACTTTGCACATGTGTGCATAATTTTCAAATTAAGTGGTCCAATAAGTACAGGGCTTGGACATTACTTTACCTTGAATTAACTCCAAGAGTAAATAGGAATGTGGAATGGGGAAAAAAATCAACAAATAAAGACGTGCAACTCTTGGAGTTGAGAAGTCAGAATTGAGAACCTCGTCTTACGAGACGAGAGCTCAAAGAGGAAGCGAAAGCACTCACAGAAGACCTCCTGTTGGGCGGCGAGGTCCCAGAGGGCGAGCGTGGTGTACGAGGAGGTGGACATGAGTCCGTCCGCCGTGGGGTGGAAGGCCACGGTCTCCACGCGGCGCTGCTTATGCGAGAAGGTGCACTCGGGCACGCTCAGGCTCTCCTCCAGCCCGCCCTCGGGGATGTGCCACACCTTCACCAGGCAGTCCTGCGACCCGGTGGCCAGCAGCCCGTCGTGGAAGGGCGAGAAGGCCATGTCGGTGACGGTGTCGCTGTGCGCGTGCAGGAGCGGCATCGTCTTGCTCTTGCGCCCGCAGTCGTCGATGGGCAGCACGGCCAGGCTCGACCCTGCGCGACCCGACCGAACGCACGCCTCAGCGCCCAGCGCCCACCACGCGCGCCGTCGCGTCGCGTCGCGACCGCGCGATCTGTCAAACGCCGTGGGCGGACTCCTCGCGTGATAAGACGAGGGCGGGACGGGACGTCACTCCGCTTGACAGATCGCGCGGACGGCGAGCTCCGCGTGAAAGCACGGGGCCTCCGCCGTCGCGCTCGCTGCTTCCAGCTGTTACGTTTTCGCGAACGCAACACACCGTCAAGGTACTCACCGTTGTGGTCGACATTGAAGGCCATAAATGCCGCGGAAGCGGCGATGTTATTTCCGTAGGTCTGATAAGAACCGACGGAAATGTCACGGATGCAAGCTTCGGGTTTGGGGACGATGGGCGCGGCATTTTTGTACTTAGAAGCCTTGAATCGCCAAGCCATGATGAGCCGTTAGACGAATCGGCGTCAATATCATATACTGTCACCTTGCTGCAAAACGAAAACAAAGTTGGTCCCGGCGTCTGTCGCTCCGCTCGGCTCCGCGCCGCAACACACTGCACCGTGCCCGGCAGGGCCGGGCCCGTTCTGGCAGGCAAAACTAGCGTCGCAGGCAGGTCGACTCCCCCCGGCTCGGGGAGGGAACGTTTCTGCCAGATTAAGAACGTCAGTTTCCTTATTCCTTTACCATCGCGACATGCGTATTGTTAACGACCCCCTTACCTTCTATTTCTGTCAAATTACACGCTTTCCGGCGACAATCTCTCCTCCTTGCTCAGCGTCATATGACAGACGGCACTGGCGAGACCAATGGACGCGCTAATCTGCGATCGCGATAATGCACACACAAGCAAAGACTCAACCTCTCGTTTCGAAATACATGAAAAATACCTATTAGCGAGATGGTATTTTTGTCGGATTTGAAAATGATTAATAATGCACGAGTGATGCTTTGACTTACGTAGTTCTACGACCTCAAAGTATCCTTCACGACAGCTTGTCATGAATTGTGCATGATGTGGGCGATTAGAGAAAGATAATGGCAACCAGCGATATCCCAACCAAATCTCGAGATGCCGCTATCGGATGGCAAACCAGACGCCTAGACGAAAACACAAACTGCGCGGTAGCAACGCCAGGAGGTGACAACCATTGATGGCAGACTTGGATCGATAACACTAGGCCCAATGACTCATGCGGTTAATGATCCCAAAGCTGAGCGTCTGCAGGGACAGATTGCGAATATTTGATTTTCCTCATTGTTTAGCAATTCATCGAGAAATGTAGAATTGAAACCAATCACGAATTATTTCACACGTATACGATAGGCATTAACGGAAGCTGCAGTTTCAATACGAGTTCGTGACAGATATGCCGGTGAAGCCGGATCTCCAAGCTTTGTCACATCTGGAACTGCCAAAGACTATTAAGATCATATACATTTACCTACTCACTTCTTAATTGAATATATTTTCGGCTTCCTTATAAATTGTTGTTCCAGCTTTGGGTATGCTACGTCTTAGTGAAATCCTATAATTTACTTTACATTCAATTGCACTATTGCGTGCCCTTTTGTCATTATTTTTTGCTTCTCGGCTCCGTTCGTAGGTCATCCTACTTACGAGACCACGCATATGTCTGCGAAATTAACATTCCTTCAGTTCATTATTAAATAACTTTGTTTTGTCACTTTTTTGAATCGTGAACATCCAAGGTCAACACAACCGGCCACCGGCATTCACTCTTTTCTTTCGCGCAATTTTTCTTCTCAGTTTTTCTACTTCTTTCGTAAAAAAATTAACATTACAGTCCAATTTAAAGTTGTTATTCTATCAATACTGTATTTGAATGATAATTTATCCCTCATTTAAGTCTATTAAAGATATTAAATTCTTATTATATCGAATAGAGAATCATTTAGCGATTATTATACATATAAAAAATATTTTGTATAATACTATAATATTCATTTCATTGTTGAGTCTAATTGTATAAAAAGTATGGATAAGTTAAATTTTAAAAGTATTATAACAAATAAACGTAGTCTGCACAAAGTTCCAGTGGTTTAAGTTTTTTTGATGGGAGGGGGAAAGGAACATATATTAAAATGAAAGGATGACATTTTGTCCTGATGCGTATGAGTTATATAAATGAATGCAACAGCTGATGTATTGATAAAGATTTGTCTACAAATAATGAAGAGAAATAAATGAAGTGTTACAGTTGACATACGTACATTTATTTTCTTCCCTTGTTACATTAAAACAGATCCACAAAAATATAGATTTAAACCATTTATATATATATTATATATTGTAAAAATAAGTTCAGTCAGGTAACAATAATGAACTTTCCCAAACACATTAAACAAAACTATAAAAATCTTATATGAAAAGCACTGGGAATGTGAGGGTTTGGAATGAACGAAGGGAAACAATGGTACAATAAATAACCATTACAGAAAACTATCCGGCTAATTAATATTTCACTGTGAAGTGAGTCACCTTATGCTCAAAACGACCATTCCTCACATCAGTATATTCTATAAAAATATTTTAATCGACTTTAGAACCGGTTTTTGGAAAATGGAGATGTTTCCATTCTCTTCTTCAGGAAAACTTAAGTTTTGAACCTAGGGTGAGCTCAATTCTGGCAAGCAAACCAATACAAGTACAATAGTACTTAATTCACAGTCATAGGTAATGGCACATTCAATACAAAAATGAATCTACTACACTCAAAGTCTATTCTTTTACCATAACAGAAAATCTTAAAGAAATAAAGAAAACCACACCATTAAAAAAAACTGCAATTATATCTTCAAAGTTCACTGGAACATAGTGACAACTTCACTACTGTTACTACATACACCACAAAAATAGATGAGAAAACTACACTGCACCAGTTAAGAATTATCAGATTTTTCTAGATTTTAATTCTGGTTTTCCGAGTTAAGACATTCTTCTGAACGCAAACTCATTATAAATTAGACTTGCCGAATATTGCAGGCTGATCTTCTAAATCTTTCTAATTAAAAAATCACTGAATGTAACAAATTGGCACCATTAATATATTTACAAAACCCCTCACTCTCATGAAATATAATGGTAAACAAAACATTTCTCAGTCTTTATAAATGAAAAAATACAGTTTGAGCAATTCAATTAATAGCACCAAAAACCAAGTGAATAATGATCGTGTATTCTGATACAAATCATTATTGCTACGAACAATACAGTTTATTTCTGATAAAGTATAACAAGTATGCCTTTCTGACCCAAAGACACATCAATATAATGTAACCTAACCAATCAATATAATGTATCTCTTGTAACAAATGGAAAAAAATCAACAACAACAAACAGAAAAGATAAAGCAATAATTTGCCTCAATTTTATCTCCAACCCTGTTACCTCCTCATTTGACACATGAAATTGACAGCATTCTGAATGGATACCTGAGAGTACATTTCGGAATTGTAAAAGATTCAATCCTTTTTAGTAACTTTCAGGGGGGTTAAGAAACATTTACAGGATATCTGAATGGACATTTAAAGGGCACAATGAACACTGATATGCTAAAAATATTGAAAGGATGAGGTATGACATCTATCCATTGAACAGAAGTGGTTTCTTCACCACTGGGGAATCTACAAATTGAATATTACACAGAAAATACTGTAAGCATTGGCTTACATTCAACATGATCCCAGGATACGCTCACATATCAATCTAAACACAGTTCATGTAACTTACAAGTTGTCATTAACTGAGGTAATAGAATTTCCATAGCAAGTCTTCAGACAATTGCATTCAAAGGAGGTGGGGCTGTCAAGTTTTTGAAGAATCTACTAGCCCTTTGATTTGAAAACCTCAGAATGAATGGGAAAACTCAGGAATTTTGTCGACCTCTGGGTTTCCTCAAAGCACAGATGGTAGTTGGGGGGTCATGTAGAGAGGGATGTACAATAGCCAATAGACATTGCAACTTCTCTTCGGTTGTCAGCAATCCACAGGTTACTGGATCTTCAGCAAATTGCTCCTGGTTCATTGACAGGAAACGTATGTATGGTAAAATTTCTTCCAATTCTGCACGCATTGTGGTTGGGTCAGCTGTAATACCTAATTGATTAAGGTTCAAAATAAGAAATTACTGACATGTTTTCTCACTGTTAAAAGTGAAATTTTAGTAATGGGAACTCCAGAATACAAGCATCATTCATAAGGAATCACAAATCATCAATGTATAATTTGCATAACATGCACTGAACTAATGAACTATTTATACAGTGAATCAATGCTTCATTTTCATGAAAGATCGTACAAGAAAATTTAGAAGTAGGTACTTTTAATCTTTCTATTGTATGAATCACTTTTTCAACTTTCTGCTTCAATTTTAAATATTCTAATACAGATTTGATTTTTATTTCACTTGAGAATTTTTCATTTAATTAATATAAAATCTAACTTTTGTTAGTAAGTGGAATGTTTCACCAATTAAGTTTACATAACAATGATTTTTATTTTGAATTATATCAGTCTTATTAAATATTATTTTATAAAAAGATAATTTGATACTCAGCCTATCTCTTAATAGTACTAATTTATTTATTGGGATACATACAAATAATTAAAAGAAATATAACCATCAATAAATTATACAATAGACATGGAATGAAATGGAAGGAGTCATACATTGTAGATTAACAATTGGATCAGACAGGCTTTGTCTTCAGAAAACAATTGTTACTAGGATGATGAAAGTGTGTTAATACACCACATACTATGCACCATTTTGAAAATGGATTTTTTACAAAGTGTCACAAACTTCATATCAATTCATTATCAATACATTAAATAATAATCTCACTTCAGAACTATTCAGTCATGTTTTGTAACTATTGAGTGAACATTATGAATACTTTTTACCTTTACGTAGGCAGCTGGCTGATGCCCAACGTAAAACAGCTTGAAACAACTGCAGTTCTGAGCCAACTTTTAACTCATGAGCTTGAACAAGTGTTAGTAAACTATTTGCACTAAGAGCGCAAAATTCTTGGTGCTGCAGCACAGCATCAATTTTCTGACCCACCACCTATACATATAGTACATTCACTAGCTTTAGAGTAACAACTAACATAAAAAACAAGAATATCAAATGTTGCCTGATCTCAATTCTTACTCAAGTTGCATTTCTTACTCAAGTCTAGGTACTAACACAATGAATGGTAACAGTAAAAATATAACAGAAAGACATTATAGAAATATTATGAACACCTTTGAAAAATGTATTACATTATATAATACTTTATATTCAGGTTTTTATTTTATTGGGCAAAGTTTATGTTCTGTAAAATGCATAGTAATAAAAATAAAATACTTTCGTTTTTTCTCTTATTACCCATCATGATAAATACATAGCCTTCCTTTGTTCAATATTGTAGTTGAACAGATAGCTCAACTGATTTTTGAGACTCAGAAGTTACCTAACTTTAGGTTATGTTATCTAGGAGTGAATCACCATCAAAGACACTCATATTCATTTGAAAATATAGATTCAATAGCTCTATATATAACAATCATTTCAACAAATTTTCTACTTTTTTTATTACGAAAAAATCTACTTAGCATATTAATTTATTTCCAGACCTATCAAAGTTTATGTATGGTTAGGCCCCAGGCTCCCAAATGAAACCCAGATAATTCAAGTTTTCTCTTATCTTAATTGGAATATCTTGGTTATCTCAGATCACACAGGTCAACAATGATTTTGCCATCTAAGCCAATAATGTTAATGGTTTTAGTTTGGGCTTATCACACACAATTTCTCAGAAACAATATTTTTAATGTTCACATGGGACAGTGTTTCTGGGAGTTCTATGGTCTCCGGACTTCCCTAGGTCCATGTAACTTTAATCATATCGTCACCATTCACAGATAATAGATATTACAAATGATTGCAATTGTTGTTGTGTCCATATAAAGGTGTTTTAGTAATATAATAAACAATAGTGTAGTGTATCCAAATCTGCAGTAAGAGCAGTTCCTCATGCCAACCAAGTTAATTTTTCTGAAACCTCCAAGTGAAATGCATGAATCTCAAGAAATGGAATGTGTATCAGATAATGGTCTTGAAAGAGAATGTTTTTCAGATCCAGAATATATGTATGCCTGAGATTTCCAAAACAGAAATGTGCACTTTTCCAAATTCAATTATCTCATTAGGGAGCTTTACTCTCCCGAAGTAAAAGCAGAACCGTAAGCATTGAGACAAAAAGAAAAACACATATTTTAGAAGAATGTTTATATTTTCCATTAAAGAACTCCAACAAAGATCTAGAACAAAGTTTTCCTTAGACGGTCCAATGGTATTTTGTAATAATGAGAATTGTCACATGGAATAGAGGCAACAACATTTTCAACACAACTGGGCACCTATTTACCAATGCATTTCAATACAGTTTGAAGGCAGTATTATTGTACACTGGCAATATAAAGCCTTCTAAGCCACTGCTCACCCAATTCATTTTAAAGAAACAAATGAAAATTTGAATGCTCTACTAAAAGCAATTCAGTATAACTGATCAGTGGAACACCACTAATGATGATTTTAAAATCATCAATATTTTGAAGGGTTTACAAAAATCTGGAAAATAAGAAGTTCTTACAAGTGAAGAAAATGTCCAGCACTGGTTGCTGTACATACGGAGCTTCTATTAGCATTGTGCATTAAGTTTGCCTTGATTAAAACCTTTACATAAGTTCTTGCCAAAAGAAATTCAAATGGTTCTTATTTAAGTCAAACGTCTTGCAAAATATCCACTGCCAAACTCAAAAAGGTGTCTGTGGGATCACAGATCAGGGAGCTATAGCAGGACCCAATTTTTGAATAGCGACTAAGTAGTGAAGAAAAGAGAACACGGAATAGCATTCAGAGGCTTTCACACAATTTCTTGGTAATAAAATGTCTTCCGATTTCAAAAATGACATGTAAGAATTTGTAGATGAATATCAAAGGCATGGGATGCTACATATCACTGAAACTTCATTTCCTGCATGCACATTTCGACTTTTTCCCATTCAATGATAGTGACGTTAGTGATAAGATAGAAGAAATGTTTCACTAGCAGATTAAAGTTAAGGAGGAATGTACCAAGCCTGGTAGAATCACCATGCTTGTATACTATCATTGAATGCTCTGGTGTGGTACACAAAACCTTCACAAAAGGAAATCAACAGTTGAGATATTTTAATTTGTATCAATTTAATGTGTGTCTTATTTGTAACCAGGCACTTTGCTCAATTTTTACATCGAAGATCTGTTAGATGTTTGAATTCAAGCTACAAGTTTGCATTTGTAGCTCACTAATTGTAAGCACAAGTCTCTCACAAAATATGTTTCATTTCAACAATGATATGTGATGTGCAAAAACTCATATCACATTCCTATTCAGCCCAAAGAAATCTTATACTAAGACCTTCTTCCGAACATTAAACTTACTTCCAACTAGTTGACCTGCGTAATTGCAAACCCTCTTTATCTCTGTTCAAAATTCCCTTCTATACTTTTTGCTATTTCTTCTTATGTATTTAGTATTTAAAAATGTATACCTTCAATGCAGCAGTCAATAGAGAAGGAAGTCCATAGAAAGTGGCCATGTGCAGGGCTGACCACACATCATTAACATCTGTTGGCCACACATGTTTCAAACACGCAATTTGTAAGTCAGCCACAAGGTACTTGTCTGCTACATAATAAAGATCCATTACCTCTTCTTGAGAGCCTAAATGCAGCTCGCAACCATATGCAAATCTGTAAACAGTTTCTGTTCTGATCAAACCCAAACACATTTTTCACATTACACAACACTAATTAATGCATTCAAATAATTTCTACACTCCATGAAAATGATGCTGTATTGTCAAGTTGTAATGGCAATCTTTTTAAAAATAGATATGTACTAATATTTTACAATGTGAATATAAAAATAATAACTGTTCAAAATTAGATTATGGATGTGCAAATAAAGAATTTAAACAACAAAATATTCAGATTTGTGAAACACCTTTCAATGGGAATGCTCTTGGTTATCCAGGTGATGCATATGTTTCGATCATCATGTTGGGGTCTTCCTCAGGGTTGTAGAGAGGCAGGATAGTGGATGGTCTGATTTATATACTTGTGAGGCCATGACGCACCTAGGTCTTGATTCGTGTATCATGTTCTCACAAGAATTACAAACCCAAGCACCCACCAAACTGGTAAATTTCAGCTCTGAGGAAAACCATGCTCAAAACGTTGACATCACAGACTTCAATACATTTTCACACTTACAGCCATGAGCATTTGCATGGCTCTGAAGATACCTTTTACCGGATTCACACTCCCTACTATGTAGCGAATTTCAGGATGGACACCATGATCATCACTCACCCACTCATGATCATCCCATGATGGAAATTCAGGCCCTTATTTTACCTAAAGTAGGCAAGAAAAATATTTATTTTTACTATAACAGATAAGCAAGGCATTTTTTCAGACAAAAAAAGACTTTACGCAATGTAAAATAATTTTAAAGAAATTGTTGTAGATAATTAATATAATTAAAATTATTAATACTTTTATTCTAACTTCAAAATTATATCAGCACTTACATGGAAGGGAACAATCTTTTTTTTGTAATCTTGATTGTACACGACTATAAAATTTCTCCAGCCCCCTTTTTATTTCTCGTATACATAATAATAATCATATAATTTTTCTGGCAATATTTAAAGGCATTTTATGTCCATCTACAACTGCTAAAATCAAAGCTATTTACAAGAGATATAAAAATGAAAATATTCAAGACCTTAATAAGCCCTATGCAGATAACATATGCAGTAGAAACGTGGACATTAAATGACAAAGACATACATTGTCCAAGAATATTTGAGAGGCATATAATACTTGAAATCTGTGCCATCACAAGTAACTGTTGATGCATGGACGATAAGAACTAACCACGAAATAGAGAACTTAATAAAAAGGGAGGATATTGTCAGAGAATTAAATGGCTGGGCCATATTCAAAGAATACAAGTACAGACCCCCAAAGAAGATGATGGATTGCGTGACAACAGGTGCAAGAAAGAGAGGAAGATGGAATGACTTAATTGAGAAACCCAAGACCTACAAAGGGTCGTGGAGCTTATGGAAGAAGAAGAAGAAGTATTTCACTGGATGACCATCAGTTAAATCATCTTTTGTATGAGCATGGCGCCTTTTTGGTTCTTACCTATTCTATTGTCCATATTTTAGTGTATTGATCCTTTTTTTTTTAACCTTAATGCTGTAACATTAACATACTGTCAATAGTTGATAGGTCTTGCAATACTGATGCTACACTTTACCATGACTTTAAACATTGCAATTATGGAGAAATGAATTTCCAAAAATCGATTGGTCCTATTACTTTACAGGTAATGATATTGATATCAATGTTGGATTCTTTTACAACATTCTTCATAATAATAATAACAATAAAAATTTGTCAATGATAATTGCAACTAACAAAGTACTAGACAAATTGAGCATTACATTATAGTACAGTAATTTTTATAAAAGAAGACGATGTAAGCTATAATATTATTTTGTACATGCTTATAATTACTTTCATGTGTACAAACACATTCTCACTCGTGTATGTCCATAGAAAGCATTTAGTATTTTAATTCTATAATTATACTTTGTTACACATAAATATACTTACCTAGTATACAATACATGAAGTAGTATCTTACTACAAGAATTGACATTTACCTAAATCCAAACTTAATTATTACAGAATTTTAAATTAAATATTTAATTAGTATCCTGTAATAACCTCCAGGTTTACGAGGTGGCAAAACAAATTAAAATCAAAATGTTTAACTAAATTAAGAATATTTGAAATAAATTTTAGAGGTCATCATTTTGCCATTTTGCTTTACAAAAACTTATATATTGTGATATTTATTATAACTGCCTTGAGTTGGATACTTTTAAGAACTATTAACTTTTATTCGGACCTGTGCTGATCATTTCTTCTTTTCTTGCTAATTCCTTAATATATAAAATGAAGATGGTACAGGTAACTATCTTAACTATCACACTTACTGAAGCATTTTGTAGAAAGCATCAGGCTGCACATCAGGCACTGGTACAGGGGAAGTTTGTCTCAATTCTCCAAAAAACATGGTCTCAAACACAGGACTCACACGTGCTAGCATCAAGGCACTAGCTTGAAAAGACCTCTGTAATAAATAGGTTGTGTAATAAATGTATTAGTGTATGTCAAAGTCACTGGGTAAGTCAAAGAGAAATAAACATAGCTAGTAATTAGCCAGAGAATTTTGCAGAATTATGCAGATTAATTCTTTCAGTTGAATGTTACACAACACACAACAGGGATTTACATAATTCAATAAGTATCACAGACGATGCACAGAGTCAATTTGTGTATGAGTGTACTATCAGGTTGAGAAATATCTCTGGATTGGATTACTCAGTGTAATTAGTATCTGAGATATTATAGTAACATATTTGCACTTGTTCAAAGAGATCAGATGGAGATGTAATTTTAATATTTATAGTTTCAAAATGTAACACATATCATTAGGCAACATTTTTTTTGCCTTTAAATCTGATATTAAGAAACTGCTATATAGATTTAAGATTTTTCTTTATAGATTAGTCACATATGCGATTATGTGATACAAAGCGTAATGTGCAGAAACAACATTCTTTCAAACAATCTCAAGCAGCATAAAAGCTAACCACATGCTGAAAAGCATAATTTATCAGCTACAAAAGCAACACTTCTATTTCCTTTATTTCCGCCCTGAGATCTTGGGTTTATAACAAAACAAACAAGTCACTTTGCAGTCTTGTAGGTGCTATAGTTTTATCAATAATTTAACCGGTTAAAGTAAGGTACATGGTACACGCTCAGAGAAGCATGGCAGCGGGTGGGGGTGGGGGGTGTCTTCTGAAGCTCTCCCTCAAATTACGCTACAAATTACCGATAGAAATGAATAAAACTTACGGATAGGCGATTTTCATTGCTCGCCCTTCATACCCTTTATGCCCACCGCATTGTAATGCCAATTTACTTGCAATGGCAAGTTTTCTCGCTTTGTTTGCCCGGATCCAAGTCACGACAAGGCTTGGGCCTTCGGCCCTCGCGTTCACAATAAACATCCTTAGTCTATATAATTACCAACTCACTTTTATAAGAAAGCACTTTTCAAGAAAGCCTCCGGAATTCAAACAGGGCAGTTACCACCGTTGCACCACCAGCAACATGAAGTGCCGTTTTAAACGACTTCTGTACGTTTTACTGTATACTAGACGTCAGCTGTTTAACCAATAGCCAGTTATATACCCATACAGGTAATAAAATGTCACACTGAACTCTGAAATTGTCTTCACCATTTCTCATTCGAATGAACTGAAATATATGATTTTATTTTCTTTTCACACTCACCTTGTTGTCATCCTTGCCAACAAGAAATTCACAGTCACTGCCCAGTCCTGATGTCAGTAAGTATTGTCCACGATCTTGAAGAGAACAATTATTCAGTTGCCTTGACAACAAAACTTCCTCCAAATTCCTGCTGCAAGAAAATTGGCAATGAAAATCCTAATAGTATTTCACTACCCAGCAAAGAAGTGTGTTTATTTCTTCCTGTCAGGGATATCTTTCTCAGTTTTAGGGGGAACTTAAATATGTTTAGACTTTTTTTATGTACAGTAGGACTTGGACAACTTAAACCTCTAAAATGAAATTGTTTGTTGGAATAATTATTTATATTTGTATAGGTCCATTGAAATTCACTTCAATAGACAAGAACTGTGGAATTTGAAGAATGTGAAGTTTTCCTCCTATAAATAAAATCTTGTACATCTATAAGAACTCATAAAACACATATGTAAGCCAAAAGTTACAAAAACAATGTAACATTTCACAATTTATTTTTGATTTGATGTAATGAGCATTCTACTTCTGTGTACTGAAATTGCAGTATGATTTGATTAATATATTATTTACGATTGTGTTTTGTTTAAATATGTGTATATGAAAATTGTACTCTTTTATGCATAGCCTTTCTCAATAAATACTTACTTATTAGAACAGTGACTAATTCATGCACTTATTGGACCTAAAACCAAAAAGTTATAACTTCTGTAATTGGAATGTTTGGCTAATTCAAAACTCTAGTTGATCCCTTCAGCTTTTTATTAACCAAGTCCCACTGCAATGCATACTCCTATTATTGAGTCATCTTCATTTCCTCAAACATGAGATTTTTAAATGAATCCCAGAAAACTCATATAATTGTATACCTAGAAGTTTTGTCATTTACAAGCTCAGAACTTTTCTTGATGCATAGAGGCTTAGGAGACAGCAAGCTATCAACATCTGGTTGTGGAGGAGTGGCAGCTATTCGTACCTGAAGAAAAATACAACTGATTTAATTTGTTGAGTTCTCCTTCAGCTAGTTGTGATAGGAGTAGAACCACTGTGTGTGTTATTTTTTAAATAGTACAATAAAATCAAAACTGTAGTTAATTTACTGATGCAAATAAGTATCACTTAGGTATTACTAGGAAGCAAAATTTTGTATTTTTGAACGTTCCATTCTTAGCTAGTACTTTTTTATTCATCATTCAACAACGTGTAGCACAAGGGTGGGATAGGGATCCTGGAGCTCAAGACAACATGTGCACAACATGTGGGTTTCAATGCCTGTTCCAAGGAAAATTGTTCAAAAAGAGGAGTGTCATTTAATAAGGGTGGTGGTCTTTCAGAGAGCATGTAGCAAGAAGGTGCTAGTGATTCATCATTGTAAGGCATTATGTAACTTTTTCTGTATAACAATACCCAGTTTCAAAGGAAATACTTAATATTTTTTCATAATAGAACATATAATACACAAACATAATGCTCTTTGTCTAACCCTGCACATATCAATATAGAAAATTGATGAAAGGCAATATACAAACATTAACACTCAGAATTAGCTCATCTGATGTATACCTAGAGCTACCCTATTCTCGAATAAGAGGCTTTTGATTGAAAGGGGTTGATGTAGACTTTTCATTATTAATATAGAAACATACCTCCATTGTTACTTGATCTTCTTCTATAAAGCCTACGCTCCGTGTTATTACATCATGCCAATACATGAATTTTTTAAAACCTAAATGTGTTCTTATGGAAGTGTTAAGAAAAGCAGCAAAGTCTGAAATAAGAAAAGACAAAATTCCCAGGTGATCAGAAAGCATTATGAAATACAATTTTCTCAACCACATTCATTAATTAATAATTACCCTTCGTAACAGTTTTCTTTGGGGAAAATTGATTAATAAGTTTTAATTCCACTTCCATGTTGACCATTGGACGTGACGGGTGGACAGTACCTTTGAACTGGAACAATCAAATTTAAATTAAATGATTGCTTTCTGTTGAAAATGCACTCAACTTTCTGTAGACTGTTGAGATAAAAACAACGTTTACAAACGAGACTCACAGCAATGAAGAGACCAAACACATCTTCATTATGCTCTGGGGGCCTATAAACTTTGTATGCAATGGACCAAGTCATTTGCTGTACACGAAACGTTGGCGAGTAATGAAAGATATCACGATCCATTGAAGTGATATTCCTTGCAATATGCCTAAATACAATGAACGAACAACAATCTTCATCGTTTTCTGAAATGTTAAATCAAAATCAATAACGTGGAAAATTTGAATTTTCAGAGCGTTTTTCATTACGACTGCTTCAATGTCAAATTTTAATTTACCTTGGGTGATATCAGAAGACTGCATGATAGAATTTGGACAATACCTTGTCCTTACTACTGCTTTCAAGGCAATTTCAAAACAAATTTGATTTGTGATCAATATCACGTAAAACCGCCCACTTCATGAATTCCTTGAACAGCCCTTGAAGCTCTCGCGTTCGCGCGTTGACACTTGGAAACTTGTATTTCTCGTGATTTCTCGCGGTCATCCCAAGCACATGCCAATCACAAGATCGAAGAGAACAGGTGCATATTATAGTTAGCACAAGAAACGTTTGATAGAGAGCAGCACTTACGTAAGAAACTCACATAATCATCAATAGATAGCAACACTAGACCCCCAAAATGGTCTGCTTTACTTTCCAGAGACAGGCGTGTCAAACCGCGTCCCAACGAGCCTGCAACGAGCTACTTGCCTGCCTGGAAAGCCCGGCGCTCCTGCGAGCACGGGCCACTCGGGCCACTTCCCTAGCTCCGCTCTCATTTCCCCTCCAAATCCAGAAAGGTGTGCGGTTGATGCCCCAACAAACTGGGAGTTCCGTCGAAAGAAGGGAATGTAATTTCCAAACTTCAGAACACTAATATATAATAAAACGTACGGAATTCATGCAAATTAATTAAAATTACGTTTATTGTATGTATGTATGTATATACACACACACACACACACACGCGCGCGCGCGCGCGCATTAAAGGGAAGTGGACGTCTAGGTTACTTACATAATTTAATGCGTAGTGTCCGCGCCAGGTGCATTCACCTTCCGCACATATGGTTCTGGCTTTGATTTCCAATGGGAACTCGAGTTTTTGTGTTAGTTCGGCATTGAGACAATTGCCGGTAACAGAATTCATAGAGCAATATAGATATGTCTTTGAGTTTAAATTTGTGCTTTCATTTTGATTGTTTAATGTCATTTGACAATGCGTTGTATAGTAACGTACATGAATTATGTACCTTGTAGCGAACTACCGATATACCTAGTATAGGTGATTTCTACGACACGTGTTGCAATTATAATGTCAGTATTGTATGGAAATATGTTCCCACCATTAAGTGAGACAATTTCGATTAAATTATAGATTTTTAATTAAATAATAATGCAATAAAAATATTCAAAGCTCGGTGAAGAGAGACTTGAAGGAATTACGTGGATGGCATTTGCTTATTATTCGTACATTTCTAAAAGTCCGGGTATTATAGGATGAAATTTCCCTGAGCGTATGCCATATCTCAAGCGGGTACATTTACAAATAAAAAACAAAACAAAAAAACCCGCAACGACCAGAAGCGCACCTATGATTTTTCTCTGGGAGGGGTTCCATTATGGTGAAGGCTGTAAGAATTTGCAAGAAGTTTGAATTGTTTGAAATGAAATGATTGATGAGTATTGAATAATGAAAATAAATATGAAAGAGTGAAAAAGAGGAATACATAAAAATGTACGAAGGAAAAATTCTTCATAAGAAAATATCGAGTCGTCTGAACACCATTCATAGAGTCCCTCCCAGAGAAAAATTGTCGGTGCGCCTCTTGCTGTTCGAATCTACTCATGGTAGGCCGGTTTTTCGTATGCCAGACTGAATTTGTCAAAAAACCCTCGTTGCTATTTAATTCGCAATTGTTCTAGTACAGTATAATGATGAGGGTAGAGGTTCCAAAGTTCAAGAAAACATACACAGATCGCACTTTTTCCCATGAATTACACACAGTTTATGACGTCGAATAGAGAAAAACATTCAAGAAGAGGGGTCGATACGGCATTTCAGGGAATGTGTTTGTCTAACGAGTTGTTACAAGAGGGAGGATGGGGGAGAAATTTAAAAAAAAGTTGAATTCTGCGAACATTTTTTTGGATGACCTTTAAATATTTTATTCCGATTTACCGCAATTCCATAACAAGTTTGCAGATATCCTAGAACGACATTTGAACTACACGATTTACCAGAAAAGATTAAAAGTAGACTTCGAAGATATATGTGAATGCTCATCTTTGACTTTCTAACAATCTTTCTTAGCTTATCGACGTAATATGCATAATCCTTCTACGTTGCGATATCCTAATACATTTCACCCCAAATGTACAGTCACGCGATATAAAATGTGAACAATGTTTATTGGCCGTTCTTTATCACAAGGTACGTAGTCTGAAATAATTTTGTTCACACTGTTGCCGAAAGTGTAACGAAGTGAATGGAGGAGAAAACGTATAAAACAGTTACAAACTAGTGGTTAAAGTCAGTGATGTAGCATTACACAGATTTTCTAGTATCATTTATATATTATTTTAATAATTAAATATTTTAATATAATATTTTAATATTTTAATAATGGGAATACCGTTTTCGATATGATGAGATGTACATGGTAATTATTTAGAATACATTTGGAAAAGCTACAAAATGTGTTAGTTCTGGGCGAAGCAAGGCCCCTGTGGCCCCTTGGATCCGTTATTGCCTGTTGATAATGCCACTATCGAGTGATTTTGTCGCATTGGGAATTATGACGATATGAAAACCAATGGTGGAATGAGAAACAAGGGAAACGGCGGAACCCCATAAAACCCGCCGAGAGATCGCTTTGTCTACCACAAATTCCTCGTGGATCGCTGTTAGCACCGGGAGAGATGGCTCAGAGCATCAACTAATGTCACTGCAGACCCTCTGACCGAGAGGGCCCAATTCGGGTCCAGACGGTGACACGACTTTCGACACTAGTCAGCTAGGTCGAATTCAGTCGCTAACTGGAGGAAAATTCTAGTGGCCGGCTGCTCTGATCGGTAGTTTTCCGTGGTTTCTCGTTTTCTGCCTTTTCCCCGACCAGGCAACTGCCGGAGCAGTAACCCAACAAACGGGCCACGGACCGCGCGCGATCTTTCCTATCTCTTTCTTGTCCTATCCTCACCCCTTACTCACACGCTAACTTGCACTACGCTACCACGCATACCGGGAGACCGGTTTGGACGTAGAACTTGTCCCGGCTGGGCCGGTGCACCGCTGGTAGGAGAAAACCTCGCTAGCTGACGGTAGGTCGGCGATGGATCGCCATTCAGCGGGGGAGGACCACTGCCACCTCCCCAGAAAAAACGTACACTACACTTACGGGACTAATGACCTTAATAGTTTGACGTGTCTGGAATCACTAACAATCAATCAATCAATTGACGTAAGTGTAGTGGATTTGAAAGTGGGGAGGTTTTAGAATTAAAGACAAATAAATAAAGCCGTGGGGTGGGAACCAATTCAAAGATGATAAAACAATTGTTTTTGTTGAAAATGAGATTAGGATATTACTGAAGTCACCTCCACATTGACGATTAATCAGATAATTCTTTCAAAATTATTTAAAACTGTGTTTACGATTCTATGTACGAAATGATCATTAATGTATAAAATAAGTGTGTTTTTGATTATGTTAGGAAAATCCAAATTGTCTTTAATTAATTAGGGGATATAATGAAATAATCATAGAAGTTTAATTGGTTCTGGTTACTGAGTAATAGACGCATGTGTCCTTATAAACATGACGTAAATTTTGTAAAATCATAAAACCAAACAAGATGAGTTGTCTGATTCAAGACCTTCAATATTAAGTATTGAAGAAGGTCAGCGCTGTATCTCACTGCAATTCACTGCTGTATCAGTGATTTGAGATCGTTAACATCAAATATATTTAATCATCCGTTTATTCAACATAGAAGATTAAATTATATATACACAGGATGCCAAGATGTGGTTCTCTAGTAAAAATTTAGTAATCACCACTTAATACATTATTACAATGGTGTTAAGCTTTACCATACTCCCGAGGATATTTCTGCATCTCTTGCAAAACTTTCTTCACGAAACTATAACATAGTATTTCTTCAAGATTTATCTTATAAGAATCTCTTATTTGCTGCATTGCCAACGCATTTATAAACTTTGAATCAGAAGAAGTTTGTTGCCATAATAAAATTACTCTCAAGCCTCCTTAGCTTAAATACTTCATCTCTCGCACCCAAAAACAGGAATTCCTCATGTACAAGACGAACTCTAATTCTGAGGCTCGAAATTAGAAAATACACATTTACATGAAGTTATCGAACTCATCAAAATTCACACAACATCTTATCATTATAAAATTATCATCAGTGAGTTCTGTCTCATCTCTACACGATGAATCAGGAAATAATATCTCCCGATATTGATAAAATGATAAAATTGAACGATCTTCAGCTCAGAACTTTCAGGCAAATTTTTGGGTAAGTCTAGAACTTGCGATGTACCCATGATCCATTTCTTTTCATGAACCTGAAGCACTAATATACCTTCCTTTGATATTAGTGTCTTTATTTTATTCATAAGGATAAAGGCCCCAATTAATGACCACAACCTATAGCTGATATACTTGGGTTTTTGTTTCTTGGAGCGCGAGGTCTTGTCTTCACGATGGAATATCTCACGATATTTTGGGTCTTTCTCGGTCTAGATGTCGAATGATCGCGACCGAATCGAGCAGTGCTGACGATCATGCGACTTCAAGTAGCATGACCGAAAGAGACGTGAGGTATTCCATCGTGAAGACAAGGCCTCGCGCTCCAAGAAATAAAAACCCAATATAAAATAATACAGGGAGATTTTTCTAACTCTGCCCCTCAAAACCCTACTTCACGATGGAATTATATCTCTGTATTTCGCATGATCGCGACCGTGTACCAGAACTAGATAAGGTTGTGATTATGCGACATCTAGCGGCACAACTGAGAAAGACGCTGACATATTGCCATCTAATACAATGACATAATGCCATCGTGAAGTAGGGTCTTGAGAGTTAGAAAATTCGTAGTATATCTTTATCACCTAGGAGTAAACTTTTTATCTCTTCTGAGTGCTCCAGGCAGTACGTACGCCTTCCTGACGGCAGTGCAGCTATTTGTAACAACGTAACATATTTTTTATTTTATAAAAAATTGGAATAAAAACAAATCAAATATTACATTTGATGATGAAGATTTTATCGTCTTGAGTAATAAATTACAATTTTGTTGCAGTATTTCTAATGACTTGAAGCTTGGTCATTTTTGATCACAGAAGTTCCAATTGCCTTTTCAATCCATATCTTCAATTACTCTCTAAATAAGGCCATTTTCATTAGTTTCATCTCGCGGCGTAATTGTCTTAGTGTTAATTCTGCTACTCAGAACATTAAAATTTAAATATGTTTTACTATTCATGCCATTGCACTTGTAGGGGTTGAGAGTACCGTGAATGAAATGAAAAAAAAAATACTTCGAGTAATAAATGAGTAATATGATAGAAGATATATAAACAAAATATGTAGTGCATTTTAATAGAAAATAATTATTGTTTTAGCCTGAAGATGAGTAAAAATATGTACACGAAACGTTGCAGTAATGTAATTATCAGAACAATTGTGACTAAATAGACCGTATGTTATATAGTTTTAAGTTTTTAATGTGTTGATATGTAAACCTGTCTGTCGATAAAGTGAAGACCAAGAATAAAAAGTTTTTTAAAAAAATGAAAAAAAGTCTATGAATTGCCATTACCAATGTTTCTTTCGATCTATATTTTGAAAACTTCTACTAAACATTCTTACTATGATAAACCTGTAGAAATAACTGAATTACTTAATATACTATTTACATTGTTATAACATAGAAGGAAATAAAAGGCAGGCAACGGAAAGGATTTTTTTAGTTCACATGAATTGGATATGACGAAAACAAAATCTTCCAATTTTTGATCTAATAATATCACATTTTTGATTTTGTGTGATTTTTTTTATAAAAATTCATCTCGCACAACGCGACAATGAATATTTTTTACTATCGACATGAAACTCAGCTAGGAGAGCATAATTTAAATTCATGACAATCAACTGAACTATAGACAGAATGAATTTTATCATGGTATGGAAAGGAACTGCTCACCTAATTGAGTTTTTATTTGTAAAACGGTTGACTAAATTTATATAATATTTTACAATGTGCTGTGTTGTTAATTTGCTTTCAAAATCCTTTATAAACAACTCAAATTAGTGTCAAATACAGAAGAAATACAATTTTGTTTTCAACATGAGAAAACAGCGGCATTAGAATGCAAAACGTTTAGCACGCTCGCAGTATTCACTGAGTCCTTATCTTGGCAGATATGTGGGTTTAATAAATATCCAACTGGTTCCTTGAGTAGAAAGATCACATTTTTAAACTTTCTGTCGAAGATGAAGTGATTTAATAGGAACGCAACTGTTCAGATGTTTTGATTATGAACAGAGATGCCGTATGTATCCAAGTCTTTCCGAGGTAGGTCTTAGTCGCTCTCTCTCTAATGGCCCCGCAACGACAAGTCCGCCATAGATGGATGATGGCAAGAGAATATTCACATTTGAGCCTGTCTTAGACCTGTTTTGCCCTGTGAAAACATTGTTATCATAGATGTTCAATGGAGCTTTGTATACAATAATTACAAACGACGAATTTATTTGACTAAATCGTAGTAACTCCCCAGTATTATTTTGAACGCCAAACTTAAATGTATATCACTGCTTCAACACACAAGAATGTGCAGACTTACATACTTTTGTTAATTACATTTTTCTCAAATTTTGTTATAAAGCAAATATTATTTCGGATTGACATACAAGCATTGGTTTTATACATAAAGATGCTCCAGTCTTGTGATTGAATTAAATATAGGCTCATAAAACCGTTTGAATTAACTATGGTCTCTGATCTAAATATATCAAAATATTGAAGAGGTAGTGTCGTCATAAGACCTTTACAGAACCGATCGTTGTTTTTAAAACATGTTTGAATAAAAAGCCTTTCACAGAGCAAGCAGCCTGAGGCTGCGCGGGCGTCGTCGTCGTCGTCTTCTAGTACTCTTCTTCGTCGGGGTCGGAGTTGGCGTCCTCCTGCACCTCTTGGTAGTCGAGCTCGAGCGCGGCCAAGTCCTCTCGCGCCTCGGAGAACTCTCCCTCCTCCATGCCCTCGCCCACGTACCAGTGCACGAAGGCGCGCTTGGCGAACATGAGGTCGAACTTGCGGTCGATGCGCGCCCACGCGTCCATGATGGCGGTGGTGTTGCACAGGCAGCACACGGCGCGCTCCACCTTGGCCAGGTCCCCGCCCGGCACCACCGTCGGCGGCTGGTAGTTGATGCCCACCTGCGGCGCACAAATCGGCCCTTGGATTGGCTAGCATACCACTTCGGTTTATTTAGGCCTGCACTCGGCAGGTGTCATCCAATCGGAAGCTTACACATCAAAACAGTGACGTCACGTCACTATGGTGACGTTCAACTTCCCGATTGGACGACACCGCAGCAGCCCATTTAGGTCAGGGGTAGTTATGTTTAAATGCTAGTATAAGGGGCGGAACCTAAAACTTCACAAAAAATATCAATGATATAATTTTAAAATGTTTTAAAATGCCTTAAAAGCAAAGAAAAATGACGTAAAAATGTTACTAAAGCTTGTTCGGATGAACAACTCAAAATGGGTATGTTACTGGTGTAATGGACTCTTGTTCCATTCTTTAAAGAGAACATATCTTGCAAAATTTTCGTTTGGACTTTTCTTTACCAGGAAATCACTGCCGTTCGATATCCTGAAATTGGCTGAACCGACAATAGTGCGCAGGAACCTTAGATTACATATACACAACGGCTAACATTAATTTCTGAACGAAGAAATAGAAAAGGCTACTCAGTTCTGTGGAGCACATTTGTTGTATATCGTAAATATTATTTGAAGTAAGTACCATTAAAAGTTATTAAATGTAATGAAATCAGGGGAAAATGTATTAAAATGACGGAAAAGGTAAAAATAAATTATTAGTAGAAATGAACGAAAAATGCATAAACAACGACGTATAAAAATGTGTCGTTTCCTTTTGTCGTGACAAAAATGTAATTTCTATGCGAAATGGCATAGTTCTAAAGTGAAAAGAAAAAAAACACATTTCATTACATTCCACCCCTTATTGATTAGGGACTCCCGGCACGTCAACCGCTAAGATCTTTAGTCTTGTAAGTGTATTGCATTTTTTTTGTATCGTGGGAGGGGGCGGTCCAGCTGGATGGTGTGATCCGGCGCCAATTTACCAGTCGGCTTGCGGGATTTTTACTAACCACGTATCTCCCACCAGCGGGTCACCGCCCCAGCCGGGAAAAGCTCTTACCTCTCGACTGGTTAAATGTATGTAAGTATAATGAAAACAGAGAGTGCGTTGAGACAGAAAATTGGTTTCGCATATTCATTTATATAGTTTAGATTATTATCATATTCATTCATAATTTTAAACGATAGCCCATTCCTCTTAAGACTAGATTTTAGCCCAAATTTCTTCATTCGAAAATGAATGTTAGAGTAAAATAATTTTCCGAGGTTTGACGGCGTAACAGGCGCGATATTGCCCGTCTTCCTAGCCTGCTCTGCTGGGCGCGGCCTGGCGAGTCCGTGGGCCAGCGAGTCCTTGGAATGTTTCACGGTCTTGTGGACGTCTCGGCGATGCATCGTAATGCAGCCACCGTAACGTGAAGATACAGGCGGTGCATTGCACTGGGATCATTCAGTTGCGACCTCTCCTGCATAACTAGTGCCTCTTTGCTCTTGGAACTCGGCTGTGGCCGGGGCGGGGATGAACTACAACCTACAACCGCACGTACTTGCTTTATTTCTAGCTTTTGCAATTTTCGACAATTGACAGAGTTCAATGAAAATTAAACCTGTAACATTCTTTTAAACTTCTATTCGAGGGAAAAAATAAATAATTGTAATAATTTTTGATAGCAATAAATTACATTAATTTCAAGCATAGATTACATTAATTTCAAACGCGATTAACGTTACAACTACTCGTTTTTCCGAACAATTGAAAATTACCTTATTTAAAGATTTTTATGTAGAATTTATTTTAAATAAAGATATTTATTATCAATATCATTTTTGCAATGCAGAATTTCGCCAAACTACTCATATTTTTAAAAGAATTGTACATGAGCTTTTATAACGAACTGATTTTGTAGAGCAGATTTGACTCAACAAAAAGCATCAATATTGTACTTTTGCAACGTTCATTTTTTTGCAAACTTTTCGAAAATAGAGAGTTTACCGAAAATGGTACAGAATCTACCGTTTATATCTTATTTTTGCTACATAAGAAGGGGGAAAAATTGGAGGTGTTTTTGAGAAAATTACTGTTTAAAAACAGCCCATGTTTGACGCAAAATTACCGAAAACTACTCATATTTTCGAACAATAGGACATGGCTTTATTTGGAGTTCGGTGTTTGAACAACATATTTCATTCAGGAAAAATCTCATCTTCAATATTGTAATTGTCAGAAGAGAGCGAAAGAAAAATTTAACTTTTGCAATTAAAAAAAATTCAGGTATGTCAAGGAAGACCGACCTGAGGGCTTTCAATATCATGAGGCTTCTTGTAAAATATCCCCAAAAATAAAATTATCCGTTTCATACTCGCAGGGCCTCGAGTTTGTTCTGATGCACAAAACTTGGATTTGGACTCCGCAACGTGTGAGAGGAAGTATTAGCTACAAGAGAATTTGCAAACAATATTTATTCACTGTTTTGTTACCGGACCCAGGCTTTTTTCGGTCGAAAAATTGCCGATTTCTGCCGCATGATTATCACATACGTAGAAAGGCGAGAAAGTAAAACAAAACATGTTCAGGGAGAGAAAAGCACGTATTCTATTAAAATTGAAAAGGTAAGTTGTATACAATTTGAGGATGGGATGTGGGAATGCTAATGGGATAAAATACATGCAATTAAAAAATAATAGCCATTAATGCTGAATTGAATTAAGGTGTAGATGAGAAAACAACTTCAATTTACGATCCATTATTTAATTAAGGATTAATTATATTATTTATGACTAGCAAGTATTCACATTAAAGTAACATAATACAGAAATCGTCGATTGGGGGTATATGTCGATAGCCGAAGATAAGATATATAAAACAGTATTTGGAATATTTACTATTTTCTTGCCGATAAATGGTATTTCTTTTCTAGAGAAATACATTTAAAAACCATTTTCAATGACAGTTTTTATATTTCTTTGGTGAGTAGAAGAGAAATATTTAAAAAACTTGAAGAGATGTGGTGGCTATGATTCATTTTTTAGCTTTGAGTGACATACTTCTTTATCAAGTGGAGTAATTTCGATGTAGTCAGAAACATTAATGATTTTAAGACACTATAAGAAGCGGTAAATAGAAACACAATTTAAAGTATTTTTAATAGATATTGTAACATTACAAAATAGCAATACAAAATGAATACCTAGAAGATTCTTGAGTAATAAAATTTGCATGTAAACGTCTACGCTTGCATAGAGGGCCAGCAATTTGCAGCAATCGATTCACAACCACCACAATTGGCTTGCGGGCGTAGTTGAACACGCGTTCACGAGAACACTGACCTTAAATCCCGTGGGGCACCACTCCACAAACTGGATAGTCTTCTCTTTCTTGATCATGGAGATAGCCGAGTTGACGTCCTTGGGCACCACGTCGCCCCGGTACAGCATGCAGACGGCCATGTACTTGCCCTGGCGCGGGTCGCAGTTCACCATCTGGTTGTTGGGCTCGAAGCACGCCTTGGTGATCTCGGCGACCGTCATCTGCTCGTGGCCCGCCTTCTCCGCCGACAGCACCGGAGCGTAGGTCGCCTGCGCAGCGCACAGCCCGCTCGCCTCACCCCCTCCGACAAGTGTGCCGGATTAAAGGTTTTTTTTTTTAAAAAAAAAGTACAAACCAGTTCCTTCCAAATTATTTACTCCTAAATACATTATAATATTAATAACGATTGGGTGGATTCGTAGGCTTCTCCGGCCATGTGGTACTTGCCGCGTCGCAATCGGTCGAGTTGACGTTTCGGCCATCACGTTGTGGCCAAGTGTAGCTCAGAAGAACGCCTCAACGTGATGGTCGAAACGTTAGCTCATGAAATTCTTACAGGGAGATAAGATATGCAAAACTGTCCTCAACGAATAAATTGTTATTTATGTTGACAAATGTAATTGAAGTGTGAACACCTTTTTTCGGATTTATATCATTTTACCCGGAGTATTTCGTACAAATAAAAAAAAACATATTTTTTAGATTAATACACAAGTTTAAAATTTGTTAACCACATTACGCCGACGAAAATTGCCTAGTATCCTTGCGATTTCTGTGCATAATAAAGATGGTTCGAGAAATTTTCCAGGCGCTTATGTCCGATTTTGACCCATACAATCAACAAAAAATAAAGAAAAAATAGAAAAAAAACTTTATTTTTTCGTTTTTTTTAAGAATTTATCATGTTCTGACACAGTTCATAAAAATGGATAAATACAGATTGTGGCCCTGTAAATTCTCTACATTCTTTCAAAATTTCAACATTTTATCATATAATTTGCACCCGATAGCTCAATAAAAATAAAAGAGTAATTTAATAGGTTTTTATTTATTTTCTTAAAATTAAATTTTGCTTAATTAATTTTCGTAGTTTTTCTGTTTTTTAGTGAATAATGAACAAAAATTGTAAGAAAAATAACATAACCTATTGCAATTTCATTACTGAACGGATCAAGATCGAAAAATTGCCGTTTATTGCCGCAGTATTACAGCACTTTCTCGATACTACGTAAGTAGTATGTATGAAAGTGGGAATCAACTGTGATTAAATTTCTGCAAAACTAAAAATACTACGAACGTTATGAGAGTGGTTCATAGTTTGCGGGTCACCAGTATATTAATCTTATGAAGATAAACTTTTGTGGATTTATGAGTAATTCGTCTGTCAACACTTGTGTTTCAATGATAAAATTGAAGAAGTGTTGTATTCGACACAACCTTGTAAAATATGACTTTGTATACCACTTTGTGAAGGGAGGGTATAAAATTTGGATTTTGACTACCTCAGGAACCACGTAATAGAGTTCACGATTCTACGCACGGTGTATCCATCCATATTCTACCTTCTGCCCCGAGGTACATCCTGAATCGAGCCTCTTTCACCAATTTAGACGACCGAATAATCTCGCACTGCTGCGATCGCCAAAAAGCCAGAACAGCAAGCGGGTGGGTCTTGCGTAACCGCGCGTGCCGAGTGCGTAGTATAACCCGCCGGTCAGTGGCAAGTGTCCACGTCGCCTTGGCAGCGCCTCGCTCGCGTTGGACGGGCCTTCGACCCCGTCGCGCCGGCGGCGCGAAGTGGGACCTCGGGCTGACCTCGAAGACGTGTCAGCGAACCGCTCCGCTGCGTGCCGCCAATGACAATCCCTGCGACAGTTGGCGCGCGCGCGCCCGACCCCCCGGCGACGCGCACGCGTGCTGGCACGGCGCATTCCCACAAATTCAGCCCACGCAGTGGGGATGGCTCGGGGGAAGGGGGCGGCACGTCGTCCTCAAGCAAACGTTTTGGTGAATTGAAAAAATCGTAATCCGTGATATCTAAACGATTTTGGAAACATTCGGCCATTTAATTTATCATCGGTATTTATGCTGAATGAAATCACGCTATCTCGACTCGTTACTACAAAAGAAACCCACACAACAAGAAACTCCTGCAAAGCGGGTGTTGTGATGCTATTCTTAAACAAAATTACGATAGGCATATATTACGATTAGCTTAAACATTAGTAGTCAATATAACATGAATAATTTTGCAAAATAGGGCATTTAATTTTGTCACCAACCGTACTTACTCTAAATGAACGTTTGGTTTCATCAAGCATTCCTACAAATCAAAATCTAAGAATAAGAAATTCCGTTGAGGCAGGTGTGATGACGTCATCCTTGAACAAAGTTGAAATGAAAAAAGTTCAAAATTCATGAAATGTGAACGAGTTAAAAATATCGGGTATTTAATTTGTTGTAAACGCAGAAATTGTATTCTAAATTGCGAAGGCGCTCGCGACGGCAACGTTCGGCTCTGTGTTTGTGGGTTCGCATCAGGTGAATAATGGTAAGAAACGTATAATAATTCGTAAAAGTCACCCAACGATGAGATACATAAATGCAAGAAATAGTTCAGTAAAACCGTGAAGAGATTGTGGGAAAGAGTTTACCAAGGCAACGAAGTTTCAATGTGCTCTTTCAACGGTGAAATAGATGAAAGAAGAAAAGTAATATTAATTATATCTTATATTACATCTAATTAAGTATGAAAATTATATATATATAATTTAATAACTAATAATTGATATAATAATAATGACAATAGCAGTACGTAGTGCGAATACTCACCAAACCTGTGACGTCCATTGGGCTATGACCAATATTGTACTTCAACAAATCCACACTGATAGTACGACAGAACAAAAAATCTGGGTATTGTTACTCGGAATTAGAAAAGATCGTGTCAACTTTTAAATGCTGCTCTTCAATGCTATCACAATGCCCAAAGAGCAGATAAACATCTTCAATAGAAGAGTTTGAAATAAATCAAAATCAGCCGGATGTGGGACGTAAGAACACAGGTAATGCCGATAAATATCGGAAATCTGGGACTGGTAAATTTATGGAACAACTTGTTGAAATTCAGGTCATTAAAGAGACTGGGAACTTTAAGACATCGCGTAATTGGCGATACGAATTGTAGAAGCATCCACAAGCAGCAAAGATTCTTGAGAAATTGGTAGCAAACTGGATTATTTTATAATTAGCCTACATCTAAAATCGTAAGTAGTAAATTTATAGGGTAAAAATAACAGTCAAAACTACAGCCCGGAAGTTCAGGCACTTATTTCTACTAAAATAGACGTGCAAAAAAGTCATTTATTCTGGCTAAAGTAGTAGGTAAAAAACAGAGGAAACGTTGAAAAATCTCCATTGAAGAGTAATTATTGTAAGGCAAAATGCCAAATAAAATATGCATCAGAAGCTAAAATACGTAAAAAAGGCAAAATGAAAATCTACTAAAAGAACTCTAGAAGCACCCTTAAGTGAATCCTATTGTTAAAAGTCATTTCCTAACAATAGAGTCATTCGTGAGTCCAATTGTCAAATCGAAACAATACTAAAAGGGCATTTTGCCAATAGAACTTCCGGGCTGTAGTGGCAGCAATAAGAAATGCTGAATGGCGGGGGTGTACCAGCGGGAAGTGGATGCGCGGGTAGGGCACGAGGTTCGTCTGGAACTCCGTGAGGTCGACGTTGAGCGCGCCGTCGAAGCGCAGCGAGGCCGTGATGGAGGACACGATCTGGCCGATGAGCCGGTTCAGGTTGGTGTAGGTGGGGCGGTCGATGCTCAGGTTGCGGCGGCAGATCTCGTAGATGGCCTGGTTGTCCACGATGAACGCCACCTCGCAGTGCTCCAGCGTCGGGTGCGTGTACAGGATGGCGTTGTAGGGCTCCACGACGGCCGTGGACACCTGCGCACCACGCCTCAGAGCGCCCGGCCCTCCGCTGCGCCCAGCCCTTACGGCGGCTCCGCGCACGCGGCATTCGCCGAATCCCGAAGAGTGGACGGGGTGCTCGCGATTCGCCGAATTCGAATTCGCACCGAACATTCGGTATTCTCCCTGCCCACCGTGTGTCGGTGCTTAGGACACGTCAGCTGTCCGGATTTAAGCGTCTCCACACATGCGGCATTAGGCGAACCCCGAGAACCTGCTCGCGGAATCCCGAGTAGTGTGGACGGGGTGCTTGCGATTCGCCGAATTCGAATTCGCACCGAACATTCGGTATTCTCTCCCTGACCACCGCGTGTCGTTCTTTAGGACACGTCAGCTGTTCGGGTTTAAGCGTCTCCACACAAGCGGCATTCGGCGAATCCCAAGCAACCGTTCGCCGAATCCCAAGTAGTGTGGACGGGGTGCTTGCGATTCGCCGAATTCGAATTCGCACCGAACATTCGGTATTCTCGCTGCCCACCGCGCGTCGGTCTTTCGGACACGTCAGCTGTCCGGGTTTAAGCGTCTCCACACATGCGGCATTCGACGAATCCCGAGTAGTGTTGACGGATTGCTTGCGATTCGCCGAGCGCCGAACATTCGGTATTCGCCCAACTCACCGCGTGTCGGTCTTTAGGACACATCAAAGAGAACGATCGTTCGTCAAACTCATCGGGATTGGGCGAGCAGTAGCTCGCTGCTCAGCGAATGCCGAATGTGTGGAGCCGCCTTTAGATACAAAGAGGAGCACAACGTGCCATTTAACATCTCTCCCGATAGCCCCGACAGGCAGCGTAAAAGAATTGAGTTACGGTAACTGAAGGCGTAATGGAGATTTTCGATATTAATATTGGCTTTGAGGAGATTTCTGGTTCCCAATACTGAATACCGCTCAATTCGAATCCCCTGAAAACGGGATAAAAATGACGAAATCGGAGGTGCAAACATATGCTCTTCCCTTGGTATCTTAGGACTCCATCCTTTCCCTGTTCACCGTTCTCTACTATCTGTTCTCGCTGCGCATTTGCCCTCTACCGTTTTCTTATGGTCTTTTACACTATTTATTGTTCACTCCTACCGCTTTCCGCTGTCATTATTGCACTCTCGTGCCCTCTTCCGTTCTCAGAAATTCTCCCCTGCTCTTTGTCGCTCTCCATTACTTGCTCCCGCTCTGTTTTAAACTCTGCCGTCCGTTCCCACTTCCACCGTCTCTCCCTCTACCATCTGTTTTCATCCACATCCACTCTCAGTCACTGCCTCTTTTCCCCTGCCCACGATCTATCCAGGAGGGGGTATACTGCGCCGTCCAGTGTTAGGAGCGGCCGGCGATTGATTCCTACGAAATATTATTTTTTAACAGAAAACCTTTTCCCTTTGGATGGACTAAAAGGATCTGACCGCAGAGTTCGGATCACTTAGGTTTGCGACCAAAATTTTTATTGTCATAACCCACACAAAGGTTTTTGCAGTCTGAAAATTTACGCAAAAATGTTTAATAAATCCATTTTTAAAAACTGAAAATTACTATTTTTGTGCGGTTGTAGCAAAAAGGGAACACTCGTATCTTAGGACAATTCAATCTCTCCTTAAATCAATAAAATATACGAAACGTATAAAAAAATTACGGATTTATTTATTACTAAATGAATATTTGAGAAAGGGGTGTTTGGTAGAAATGCCTAGGAGCTGATGTGTATTTATTCGCTAATGACTATCCACAAGTACCCTCCATCTTTCACTTTCACCTACCTCCAGATAAACCTCATATGCCTTACTCTGAAAATTTGCATTCGTTTAATGATTCGTAAATGAAAAGGAATGTTACACGTCACCTCACTTCGTGTCTTCCCCTAATGAGAACTCCGATTTTCTCAATCTTCTCCGTCTGTCTGTAAATGAATCCCGCCTTCTCCCACTCTTGCGACCATTGAACCACAGTAACCACAGAGTCAGGAATGTGGTGTCGATTTGCTCTGTCACGGCATCTTTCGCGAGGAGAAAGTAAATGGAACATAATACATGCGTTACATAATCAACAGGCGAGCAAATGAATTATAAAATAATAGCGTAGCATGTCTTGATTTTACAAACAACTAAAGGCGATGAACAATTTCATTAAAACGCAATGTGTATTACTGAAATTATTTTAATCGCAATAAATACATTTTTTAATAATCTGACATCTTAATTCTTGAATTATATTTTCATATTTAAGAGTGAATATAAAAGGTGCAGTAACGTCTGGTGATTTGTTTACTAGTCAGTCGCTGGCAAAATAAACGACCGTGACAACCTCGCATTTTGTATGTTCTCCTGTTTGACAGCACAACTCATTATTCTCGTCACAATTCTTGACTACGTGGTATCCATGAATCAATGCATTTATCTATTCCTGCTGCATCTCCAGAACAGACGACTCCTCTGAAATTCGATATACTTTGATGGAAAAGAAAAAAACGATAGCTAGGATTCAATGTGCTGCAATGTTTGTAAAGTAAATAACACAGGGGCACGCTCTTGAATTTACTGAGTGATATTTTCCCCTCATCTGCCATGAGAATGAAATATTCGTCATACGACATAATGGTATTTGAATTACTTAAAGTAACGATTCGATTTTCTAAGTGAATAGCTGTGTTTGTTTTCATGTCGGTTTAAAGAAACGATGCGCATAATAGATGAACGAAGTTATTTTATTTATTATTATTTATTATTATTTTATTATTATTATTATTATTATTATTATTGTCTTAGCGATTATTCACAGTATCTACTGGTCGGTAATATGTCAACACATCACAGGTATGATGACGCAGGTGGTGGTGGTCTGCTTTACTGAAGGTTCAGATGGCTTCTGACAATACGACATGTATTCAAAATTATGTCTTTTGCATATTACATACATTCTGGTAATGCAAGTGAAGACACTCCAGTGCGAAGTGTCATTTTCGGGGATCACTCCCGTAGCTGATATTATTATAGGCAACAGTTGTCAACTTTAATGAAGTTTCAACTGAGTTGCGACTTCATAGGCGAGATCGGTATACCTTCTGGGGATTCTTCTCTGATATTATTCCCATATGTTGTGGGGTATTGGTAATTGATATATGATAAGGAAAACTGCTGTTGTTCTTCCAATGTCGTTATATCCGGGTCTATTGCCGCGACTGTCTGTCAGTTATAATGGAACGACCAGTAGAGTGTGTGCTCACTACTTTCAAGCACATTCTGAGGCACATATTTATAATACGGCATGGGTAGTGGCGAGTAAAGCCGTTCTCACGCAATTAATTGGTGTACCTGCTTCGCCACTTCTATCATGCCTCTTTTGTATTCCACCTGTGCGTGGCTGCTACATCCACTTGTCACGTGTTTGGATAGTTTCGCTTGCAGCTCACATCTTCTTACCGAGTCGGAATGGACGTAGAATCTGCTCAGAATGTGTTTTTCTGTAGTTCATTGTCGGTACACTTGTCCTGGATAGCTATCATGAAGGCCTTGTCTCCGAAAGAGATCCCAGTTGCTGAGCCATGGAGTGCGACGCAGAGATGTAGATTCTGTTTATAGCTCGTCCTTTCATGCAGTGCCATTGCTTTCCTAAGGTACTCTCTTCGTTTCAATGGATTGGTTGACAAAGGCGGATCAAGCTTTTCAACACCGAGTTGTTTGAAAGTTATTACTCAACAGTCTCGAAAGAAAAAGCTACTGCGCAGTGTAATTTCTTGAATATCAACAAGCTTTCGACAAGGCTATTGGCACGAAAGGACTTCTGATAAAAAATTAAATCTAGCTCTGCCCATGCGTATTACTACTGATGATCATATCTATTAACCGACACTTCCAATTAAATATCAAGAAGAATTATCATCATTCACCCCATTAAATCAGGAGTCCCTCAAGGCAGTGTGGCTGGGTCCTGTTTTTACCTTATACACACACTATGATCTGCAACAAGATGAAAGGACTAACCACTGCAACGTTTGCGGACGACACAGCATTTTGGCTGTGCATGAAGACCATTTCAAGCATCACAAAATTCTCCACGAGCATATGAACCAACCTTGGACAATGGCTAAAAGATGGCGTTTCAAGGTAAAATGCTCAAATTCTAAAAATACTCATATTTACCTAATCCAAAATGGGTGTCTAAAGTACAGCTAAACAATGTATACTAGCAGCAACTATCTGCTTAAATATTAAGGATTTCATATGGACCAAACGGCTACATGGAGGAACCATATAACTGCAAAGAAGAAAGAAGCACAAATCAGATTCTCATTATCTGGCTATCAACCGCCAATCAAACTTTCTTTAGACAACAAAGTACTCCTCTACAAATTCTAATAATCAGGCTATTTGAGCTACGGAATTCAACTCTGGGATCCGCTAGCAGTCAAACTTGATAATACCAGAAGATTCGAATCAAACTTCATTAGAAACTAGCAATGCAACGCGTGGGTAGTACGAATGAACACTACGTCGAGACCTCAAAGATACGCCTATTTTAAAAAAAATAAAACTATATGAAGATCACTCAGCATAGTAACCACCTACCAAGAGCGGTTACCAAACATCCAAATCCATCGCATCATCTAATTGGATAATAGCAAGGAAGTACACGACTGAAAAGATACCATATTCTGGAATTAACATTCCGCTTCAACAACCACATGACGATTGTAACTCTAGCTTCAATTCAATGCATAATTAACACATTTACTGATGTTTGTTAAGAAAACAATTGTAAATAAACAGAATAAAAAAAAGCTTTTTCAAGTTCAGAGGACTATAGTTATTATCAACTGCGCCTGCTTGCTGAACTGCTCGCAAATGTTCCAAGAAGTATCTTCTGGTGAAGCAATTTGAGAGCTGTTGTAGATTTATGAGATCTACAATACCTCGCTCCTTGCGACCTTGGAAGGGTAAAACGCTGCTTGTAACTTCAATGGGGGAATGAT